ACAGAATTAGATCTAATGCCTGCTTTAAGCCAGAGGTTCTCAAAGTGGGGGTCGGGACCCCCCGAGGGGTCGCGGGACAATGAAGGGGGGTCGCCTGGTGATTTTCAAAAATCAATTAATTTTTATTAAACCTTAAAACTTACTGTATTTTATCAATAACCTATACTGAAGAGAAAAAAATAGTCGCTTATAGTTACTAGTTCTATTGGATTGCGACTTCTCGGGTAATTACATTATACTAAAGACACAGCAATACTGTCAGATGCAGCAGATTTTGTAACACCAGGTTCAACTTTCTAGCCCATTTACAGCACTGACATACATAAAAAAACAAAGAATAGACTTGGGTCTATTAGTGTGTTTGTGCGCATCATTGCATACCAGGTTTCTGTATTTATAACCACCACCTGAGAGGATATTGGGGGTCACGAGTCACTGGCATTGTCATTTTGGTGGTCGCGGGCTGAAAAGTTTGGGAACCCCTGCTTTAAGCGATGGGTTGGACCCACAACGTTTTGCTTTATCCCAAGTGAGTGTATTAAATCCATAAACATGAACCCTAATGTATCGTTAGCGTCATCTATGTGGATGTTAAAGTCACTGACAATTAGCATTTTATCAGTTTTGGCTAGTAAGTCAGAAATAAAATCAGAAAACTCTTTTAGAAATTTAACATAGGGTCCTGGGGGTCTATATATGGTGATTAAAGCGAGAGGTTTTTGCATAGTATCTGGAAGCTGAACATTAAGCGCTAGTACTTCAAAGGAGCTAAACATAAGTCCGTTTCTCTGATTAATATTAAGGAAATCACTAAAGATTGATGCAACTCCACCACCACGACCAGTTTGACGAGCCTCATGTTTATATAAGAATCCTGGAGGAGTTGCTTCATTTAGGACAATATCAGGTTTAGTAAACCACATGAAGTTGTGCTAATAAAGCATTTTTTAACACACAACCGCCTGAATAATAAGATATGTAAATGTTGATTTGAATAGTTAATTATTTACTAACTCATCCTGAATGATCTTATAAACTACTACTCTTAAACTGCTTTGTAAACATTGCAATCCTTCAGTAATAAAAACAATAATCAAGTTAACATTATGCAATTTATAAGTCTACATAAGTCAGTTGTAAACTGCTGACTAATGTCTTACAATGTAGAGCTGAGGCTTAACAAATGATGAATTAATTATTCGCTAATGCTTAAAGGGTCATGAAACACCAAAACACATGTGTTGAGCTGTTGACAGTGGTATATGTGTCCCACACTGCTGTAAACACTATTAGGACACCTATATTTCACTAAAAAGTGTGAATTGGTTGTTTTTGCGTTATTTTAAGCAAATTCGTACTTCCGGTTTGAAACGAATTTTTGAAGCTGCGTCACGGTCATGACATAATAGTGTGTATTCCAGCGTGCAGACTGGACGCCTGTGCCAGAGTGTGTCTTATTACGTCTTACAGTGTGCTGCATTAATGCATGAGTAAAGCTTGGTTCAAACCAATCAGAGCGCTCTATTGTGCAGCTTCATTAATATTCATTACTGTCACAGTGTTTAGACGACAGAGACGCCACGTTGTGTTGGCAAAACAAGCGTGAAGTGTTGCTTTTATAGTTTGCTGCAGTGAAGTTTTCATTTTCTCTCTGTGAGAGCTCAGCTGGAGTCACGTGTGGATTAACAGTGTACGCGACGCTCGACAACAATAACTTACGTGTCTAAGGAGGATTATTGTTTACCTGAGAGCTGTTCTCATCTGCAAACGCTGAGATCCGGATTCGCTTTAGTCTCCTCTTAATAAAGACGCGGCTCTAGTTACTGGTGATTGTCCTGTCTCTACAGATTTGGTAAGTGAGTGACCAGTGCTCTTTGTTTATTCAGTTTGTTCGTATCGAGTTAACTATTGCGCAGAGTGTAAACATGTTAGCACCACAACCAAACTTTAACCTCGTGTAGGATTTTCACCGCATTTAGTGACCGGAATAACACAGGCGGCTTTCTGACACTACCTGCCGTGTGCATCTAAGTTTCCAGGAAATGCGGAGTTTTTTTTCTCTCATTCGCCGTGCGGTATCAAACATTGCATGAAAAATACACGCTTAGAGCAGTTCCTCGAATCAAATATCTCGTTTGTGGCGAGGGACATGAATGAATTCCCTGAATGAAAGAGCCAAACTGCAGTTAAAGTCCACCATTTAATAATTTGGCAAATAATTCGACTACAGATGTCCATGTAGGTTAAACACCATCACTTTCTCCTGTGTGTGTGTTTTGACTCTGAAACTCGCGCGTGCCCAAATAGACACTCCCACACCATCCCACTTTTCTTCCTCCGACACTCCCCCGTAAACAGAGCTGGACACGCCCACTTTTCTGACTTTTTCCAAAGTAGAGGTGTGAAAACACCCTGCTGAAACGAGGGGGTTTCATGGCCCTTTAAGAAATGACTCATCATGTGCAGTTATTATAAATGTCACTGAAAATGCTTCTTGATACAAGAATTAAATGGCAAAAACTCTAATAATAAAATCCCAATAACACACACACACACACACACACACATGTATGTCTGCTCCTCCACAGGTAAACTGCTCAATCTGAGGGAATTAAACGTCAATTATAATAAACTGCTGAGCATTCCTGCTGAACTGGGCGAGTGTGTGAATCTGGAGCACCTGGAGATGACCGCAAACACACACCTGGCGGAGCTGCCCTTCGAGGTACACACACACTGCAGATACACACACTGCAGATACACACACACGCGCTCAAGAATAAAGTCATTTACAACATATGTGCTTGTGTATCCCAGCTAACAGAGAGCGTTCTCTGAACGTTCCGGCAAGGTTTACAATAATAAAGTGCTAGTAGTAGTTTACATTTCTGGAGTTGAGAAATTGAGAACACTGCAAACACATGCGCCAACACTTTATAATAACTACACACTCCGAATCATTTATTAAGCATGAGCAAATGTTACATTCGTCATCTGTTCAGCATTACCTATATGTTAATAAGAGTTAGTCAGCAGTTTATTACTGCAGCTACAAATGCTGTATTACTGACTTACAGCCACATGTATAATGTGCTTAATAACTGTACTTTCATCATTTGTTAATGATTTGTTTTTCATTACTAAATGAAGTATGGCATTAATAACAAACCAGTTACTTAAGAATAGTTAGTTGCTTTTAAAGATGATTCAGAATGAGTTAGTAAATGAATAATAAACTATTGAAATCAACATTTATAACTCTTATTAATCAGGCATGTACTAATAGTTAATGTGTATGTTAATAAATGCTTTATTAACTCAACTTCAAGCAGTTTTGTGAGCTAATCTAAAGTGAGGATTCGTGCTTTATAAATCCCTTATAAATGACAAATAAAGGCTCAGTTAAATTCCAAACAGGAAAAAAGAAAACAAAAACAACATTATTCGTTCCTATTGATTTGAAACACATTTAAATAAATACACAAATGATACACAAATGACACTGCGCTTCAAATGAACAATAAATCTTTGCAACCTTAACTAGAATAAAATGACCATGCAGTCTAAACGTCATTAAATAACACTGGAATATTATATCATCATATTGAAATCAACATTTATAATTCTTATTATTCAGGAATTAATGGTTACTTGGTTTGTTGATAAATGCTTCATCCAGTGTTGTGAGCTAATCTAAAGTGAGGACTATTGATGCTTTATAAATCCCTTATAAATGACAATTAAAGGCTCGGTGTCAAATGAACAATAATCATTGCACTCTTATCTAAACAGTAAAATGACTGTACAGTTTAAGCATTGCTGAATATCAGGAGTGTCAATTAAAAAACAGTAATAAAGCAACAATAATATTAATTATAATAATTTAATGATATAAATCAAACTTTGTTACTGTTTTTTAATCCAATTTGATGTCACATTGTGACACTCCTGATATTCAGAAATGCTTAAACTGTACAGTCATTTTACTGTTTAGATAAGAGTGCAATGTTTATTGTTCATTTGACACTGAGCCTTTAATTGTCATTTATTAGAGATTTATAAAGCATGAATAGTCCTCACTTTAGATTAGCTCACAACACTGGATGAAGCATTTATCAACAAACCAAGTAACCATTAATTCCTGAATAATAAGAATTATAAATGTTGATTTCAATAGTTTATTAATCATTTATTTACTCATTCTGAATCATCTTAAAACCCTCCAACTACTCTTAAATACAATTGGTTTGTAAATAATGCAATACTTAATTTAGTCATGGGAAATGAACCATTAACAAGTTATGAAAGTACAGTTTTTAAGCACATTATACATGTGTTTATAAGTCAGTGATAGAGCATTTGTATCTGCAGTTCTAAACTGCTGACTTGTTAATGTAGAGTAATGCTGAACAGAGGATGAACTCACTAGATCAGTGGTTCTCAAACTGTGGTACATGTAACACTAGTGGTACGTGGAGGAATCAGATATGTCATATTGTACATGCCACATATATTTAAAATATGATATCAATGTGAGAACATATAGCATATATTTATGAGGTCCAAGCAACACCCCCAGATGAATATGTTAATACTTTATATTTAAGTACAGGAGTGTTTTTTTAATTACTTTTAACGAACAGTAGCCTACCATTTTTAACCTTTAAATACACACTTCAATATAAACGTTGACGTTTTATTTTGTTTGTTTGATTTTTACATATAAGCACAGTACAGTGTTGATGTTCAACGTATTTATAATGTTTAAAGCGGCTGATAATTATTAATATTCTTAATAATAGGAATTAATCTGCCATGTTTTTGAACTGTACAGAGCTGTAGCTGCTTTACTGGGCCTACTACGCTACTGTATTTCAATAATTCAATTCAATTCAGCTTTATTTGTATAGCGCTTTTACAATGTGGATTGTGTCAAAGCAGCTTCACATAAATGGTCACAGTAACTGGATCAGGGTAGTTCAGTTTTTAGTGTTTAAGTTCAGTTCAGTTTAGCTCAGTTCAGTTCAGTTCAGTTTAGCTCAGTTTAGTGTGATTTAATCATTACTGAGAGTTCAAACACTGAAGAGCAAATTCATCGATGCGTAGCTCTACCAATCCTGAACCATGCGAGGCAGTGGCGACAGCGGAGAGGGAAAAAAAACTTCACCTGATGGGAGTGAAGAAAAAAAACCTTGAGAGAACCAGACTCAGTTGGGCACGACCATTTTAATTTCTCCGCTGGCCAAAAGTCTTGTGCAGAGCTGCAGTCTCAGCGGTGGAGGCTGGAAGCTGGCCTCAGCGAAGACTCGACTGTCCCTGGAGCGTCACTGGAATCAGTCTCATACTCTCCACTCCTCCATGACCTGGAGGAGTAACCTGGAGGAGCAATGCTGCTCATTATGGTGGTACTTGGAGAGACTATTTTTTTCTGAGGTGGTACTTGGTGAAAAAAGTTTGAGATCCACTGCACTAGATGCTAATGCTTAATAAATGATCTATAGTGTGCAGTTAATAAAGTGTTACCAAATGCTTTTCAGTTGATGCTTTGAGTTTTAGTCTTGTTTCTAGTCCAAAATATCCATAAACTCTTAAATCAAGAAGCATTTTCTAGACCAGTAATAGATCTGGTGTTGTTTTCAGAAATAATGAGTGAAAATAAAGTGAGTTTTCCATTAAAGCAAGCAGAATAATCTGCGCTGTAATGAATTAGTCGTAGCTCTAATTTAATTAGCAGGTCATTTAACATTTCCACATCATGAAAAGGTCAGCAAAATGTTTGTAGTTACTGTTGTTAGCTGGGATATTCCTCTGGTTTCAGCTGAGTAACCTGAAGAAACTCCAGCACCTGGACTTGGCAGAAAACAAGTTTCCCAGCATCCCCATCTGTGTGCTGCGCATGGAGAGCCTGAAGTGTCTGGACATCAGCAATAACGCACTCAGAGACCTGCCTGAGGACATCGACAGGTGTGTATGTAACGGAGGCTAGCTAGCGAGTGCTGTGCAGGTAAACCTCACTCCTCTGACCTCTAAAGGTGCTCTATAGCGACAGATGCTAGTGGCCATGGTCTTTAGCCTCCTTGTTAGAGTAACCGACTCCCATGCGGAAGGTCGCCGGTTCGATACTAGCTCGGAGCGGGTTGGGTGGCGTAGGACCGGCGTTGTTACATTGGTGCCGTGACCCGGATGGGAGTGAGGTTTAGGGGGGTGAGTGTAACTGAGGCCAGCTAGTAGGTGCTGTGCAGGTAAACCTCACTCCTCTGACCTCTAAAGGTGCTCTAGCGACAGATGCTTGTGGCCATGGTCTTTAGCCTCATTGTTAGAGCAACCGACTCCCATGCGGAAGATCGCCGGTTCGATACCAGCTCGGAGCGGGTTGGGTGGTGTAGGACCGGCGATGTTACATTGGTGCCGTGACCTGGACGGGAGTGAGGTTTAGGGGGGTGAGTGTAACTGAGGCCAGCTAGTAAGTGCTGTGCAGGTAAACCTCACTCCTCTGACCTCTAAAGATGCTCTAGCGACAATTGCTATGGTCCATGGTCTTTAGCCTCCTTTTTAGAGCAACCGACTCCCATGCGGAAGGTCGCCGGTTCGATACCAGCTCGGAGCGGGTTGGGTGGTGTAGAATCGGCGGGGTTACATGTACACAAGCGCACACATAGACACACGCACACACATACCTTGGTTGGATGATGAAACTGAAGGCCTCAGTCCAGCATCAGCTGCTGTAGTGAATGACAGACAGGAGTCCTGCACAGCGGCCAGAGGGATTCTGAGCCGTTCTTCATCTAAATAGTGTTCAGGTCACTACTGATGCTGCTGGAGGAAAACCTTTCCTGACTCGCTCCTCCAAAACAGCCCAAAGTGCTCAATAATGTTTAGATCTGGGTACTGTGCAGGCCATTGGAGATGTTTAACTTCACTGTCATCTTCATAACACCACTCTGCCTCCAGTCCTGCTGTGTGTGTTGCTGCATTATCATCCTGATGCACACCACCACCTTCAGGAAACAATGTTTGACCCATTGGGTCACATGCTCCTCCAGAATGGGTTGGTCCTTGGCGGTAACCCATCACCCATCTAGCACAAGTAATGGGCCTCGGGAACGCCATATTGCCGAACGAATCATCAGTGATCCCCACATGCTTCCCTCTGGGCATCAGCAGTCTGGGTGGGCCGCTTCTTTGGGGCTTCTCCACACAGTAACTCTCCCGGATGTGGGAAAGACAGTGAAGGTGGATCATCAGAGAACAGCACATGCTCCACACCGTCCACAGCTCCAGTTCTCCACTGCTGCTCCACTGAAGCCGGCGTTTGGCATCAGCAGGAGTGAGCAGAGGTTTGGGTCATTATATTGACCCTGTCATTCTGCAGTGAGTCGGGCAGCGGTGCTCTGATGTGTTCTGGGTAAATCAGGGATATCAGCCGGACCCCCTTTCAGACAGCTACCTCTGGCCTCCACAGCTCCTCCTGCTGGATGTGCTTCTTCTTCTTGGTGGTCTGCGGACATTACTCTGAACACCACGGCTCTGATCATCACACACACTTGCTTTCTTGCTCACAGACACACACTATCACTCTGTCTTCTTCTGAACTCTGCTATGTCCCCATAATGTTGTTTTAACACGAGCACACACAGACTAATGGGCACACACACACACACACACACACACACACACACCTGACGCTGTGGTGTTTCTCCTTCAGGCTGGAGGCTCTAGAGATGCTGTTCCTGCACAGAAACGCGGTGCGCTACGTGCCCATGAGCACCAATAACCTCCTCCATCTGAAGATGCTGGTGATCAGCGCAGACCAGCTCTACAGCCTCCCCTCACACCTAGTGGACAATCCCAAAATCAAGTACGTCTGAGTCCACCACCGAGCCGTGTCATGCACAAATACAGGAGGATGGGGAACACTTAGAACAATGATCACATGAAAAATAGATTGTTGTCACACAAAAGCAATCATGTGTTTGCTCCAAAAACATCCGAGGTCTTCTGCAGAAATGAACGCGTTTTTCAAGATACTTTACATTCACTTTGAAATCTTTTGTAGCATTGTGCAAAATTGAATGTTTACACCAAGAATCTTTGCATTTGCTCCAAAAACATCTGTGCTCTTGTTCAAAAGTACGTCTGAGTCCTCAACTGAGCCGTGTCATCATGCACAACAAATATAGGAGAGGAGCAGGAAACCCTGGAGTCAATCTAGCGCCAGAAATACTTGCAAAATAAAAGGTTTTGCAATTAAAAAAGAAAGTATTGAGCAAAAATAAAGAATTAAATAGATGCAAATCTCCAAAAATCACAAAGCGAAAATACATTTTTGAGAAATAAAAATGAATTCTGCTAACAAAAATAAAGAACTGCGAAAGGGAAAATTCACCTTTGAGAAAGAAAAATAAAACTTGCAAACAAAAGAACTGCAAATACAAATCAACAGAGCGAAAAATCCTAAAATATTTGCAATAAAAAACTACTTGCAGTTTACAAAACCCGTCTAGTCAATTGCAATGCTCATGTTGAATTGTTTTTAGTCAACCGTGAGTTTGCCACGCCGTTTTCACTTCGCAGTTCACTGCCTGCCGTAAACTCCTAAGTTCCCTTGACCCTGACCACTTGTAAATCAGGGCCACAAAGTGAAACGCACAGAAACGTGAAGTGCAAAGTGAAATCAGCATCGCAAACTCACAGTTGAATATATGCAATATATATTGAATATATTTTTCTCAATACTTTATTTTTTGTTTGGTAAAACTTTCATTCATTGTGCAAGTATATATGACCCTAGATTGACGCTATAGAAAACTCAATAACAATGAAAAATAGATTGCTTTTGTGCAATAAAGTATTGCTGCTTTTCTTCATTAAACTTTGCTCCCAAAACATTTGTCCTGTGCAAAAAGAAGAATGCGTTTTCCAAAGACTTTTGTCTAGTTGTGCAAAATTAATGTTTGCTACAAGAATCTTTGCATTTGCTCCAAAAACATCCGTCATCTTGGTCAAAAGTATTGCATTCGCTCCAAATATATTTGTTGTCCCATTCAATAGTTCTGCATTTCCCCCCAAATTTTGCATTCACTCGCAAACTGTTTAGCAAAAAATAAACAAATAAACATTAAACTGCATTTGCTCCTAAACTATTTTATAAAATTGTTTTGTGCAAAGGTTTTGCATTCCCCCCCCAAAAAAACTTTGCATTAAATCCCAAAACATTTTTGCAAAAATCTGCAAAGAAATGAATGCATTTTCCAAGAAACTTTGCATTCACTCCCAAAACATGTCAAGCTGTGCATAAATGTATGTGTACTCCAAGAATCTTTGCATTTGCTCTAAAAACATCCGTGATTAAGCCCAACCCTAACCCTGTGTTTAAAGTTTTGTGTGAAAAATAAAAAACTGCATTTGCTCCTAAACTATTTGCAGTTTTGTGCAAAGGTTTTGCATTCACACCAAAAACTTTGCATTAAATCCCAAAACATTTGTTGTCTTTTGCAATGAATGCATTTTCATAAAAAACTCTGCAATCACTCCCAATACTTTTGACCAGTTGTGCAAAAAAATTATATACATAGGTGCTAAAAACTACTGCATTCGCTCCAAAAGTATTTGTTGTCCCATTCAATAGTTCTCCATTCACACCAAAAACTTTGCATCCCAAACTGTTTGAGGTTTTGTGTAATTTAATCCCTTCAGACCTGAATTATTTTTCAAATTTCAGAGAAATGGGATGTCATGTGATGTCCATTGTAATGGCCGCAGGGTCTGAAGGTGATTATTATATATATATATATATATATATAAACTGCATTTGCTCTAAATTGTTAGCAGTTTTGTTCAAAGGTTTTAGGTTTGGCATTCCACCCAAAAAAAAAAAACTTTGCATTAAATCCCAAAACATTTGTCAAGTTGTACAAAAAATGCAAGTCTTATCCAAAAATCTTTGCATTTAATCCAAAACACCAGTGATCTTGTTCAAAACTATAGCATTTCATATATATTTGTCGTCCTATTTCTCACCAAGATCTTTACATTCACTCCTAAACTGTTTAAGAGGTCACTTAACAATAAGGCGCATTAGTTAATGTATTTACTAACGCTAACTAAATATGAACAATTTATGTAGAGCATTTATTAATCATAGTTCATCATTTTCTAATGTTCACTAACACAAACAAATACTGTAGTAACGTATTATTTACAGTTTGTTCATGTTAGTAAATGCATTAACTAACATTAACTAATACAACTTGTTGTAAAGTGTTACCGTTTAAGGTTTGTGCAAAAAAATGAAAATAAATAAATGCATTTAGTCTGAATTATTTGCGGTTTTGTTCAAAGGCTTTGCATTTCCCCCCAAAAAAACTTAGCATTAAATCCCAAAACATTTGTAGGGTTGTGTAAAATGTAATGTTTATTTAGAGAATCTTTGTATTTACTCCTAAAACATCAGTGATCCTGTTCAAAAATACTGCATCCACTCTAAATGAAAAATTGTCGTCCCATTCAATAGTTCTGCATTCCACAAAAACTTTGCAATCACTCCCTAACTGTTTAAAGTTTTGTGCAAAACTATTTTATAAATAAACTGCATTTGCTCTAAACTAATTGCAGTTTTGTTTAAAGGTTTTCCATTCGCCAATAAAGTTTGCGTTAAATCCAAAAAAACATTTGTTCTCCTGTGCCAAAAAGAATGCATTTTCCAAGAAACTTTGCGTTTGCTCCTAAAACTTTTGTCTATAGTTGTGCAAAAAATGTATGTCTACTCTGAATCTTTGCATTTACTCAAAAAAACATCTGCTTCAAAACTACTGCATTTGCTTCAAAAATATTTGTTGTTTTCTGCAATAGTTCTTCATTTACTCCCCAACCATTGAAGGTTTTGTACAAAAAAGTATTGCAAACCGCCCAAAACACAATGTGCTAAAATGTTTCAGCTTTGTGCTAAAGTTTTGCATCCTCCTAAAGTAACTTTGCATTTCAAAAAACATTTGATTTCTTTTGCAAAAAAAATTGATAAATATAAAAAACTTTGCAAGACTTTTGTATAGAGCAAAAATATATGTTTACTCCAAAAAGTGTTGCATTCACTCTCAAAACAGGAGTATAATACAAGAGTATTGCACACCACCAAAAACACAATCTGCCCTACAAAAAAAAAAAACCTTGCATTGCTCCCAAAAACATTTGTCTTGTGCAAAAAAAAAGTTGCATTTGTTCCCAAAACTTTTGAGACCTTGTGCCGAAGGATTGCATTCCCATCAAAACCTAGTGTTCCCTTTAATACCTTTAATACTATAACTCCCAAAAAGCTAAATTAAAGAATCATCCTTGATCAATATAACGTTTGCATTGATTCATTAAATCACAGACGGATTGCCCCTACAGATGTGCTGAATATTTCAGTGTGTGCTGCAATGACAATGAAGGTTAACGTTGAGGTCGCGTCTGATCCTCCGGGGCGTTATTTTTAGATTCTGAGAATAAAACAGCTGCTGTTGTCTGTCCGGCAAAACGGTTTCCACATACATGATCAATGCGTGTTTCTGTTGCAGATTAATCCGCTTATATGACAATCCTATAAAAGCTGAGGATGAAGAGGAGATGAACATGGATGCAGAAGCTCAGGACACGCATGAGAAAGAGTTCATGAAGACTTACATTGAGTCTCTTCAGGACAGGGGTGAGGATATCGATATGCTCATGCATTTTGAAGAAGATGGTACAAAAAAAAGGCATTTTCGTAAACTTTTCTTAGATTACACATTTATGGTAATGTAATCTGCTTTTGGATTACATTTAGATTACTTTTAAACTGTAATCAGTTACTGACTACATGATAAGAGTAATTTAATACTACCTTTATACATACAGCTGAAATCAGAATTATTCACCCCCGTTTAAATTTTTATTTTTTAAATATTTCCCAAATGATGTTAAACAGATTCAGGAATTGTTCACAGTTTGTCTGATAATATTTTTTCTTCTGGAGAAAGTCTTATTTGTTTTATTTCGGCTAGAATAAAAGCAGTTTTTAATTTTTTAAACACCATTTTAAGGACAATATTATTAGCCCATTTAAGCTGTATGTTTTTCGATAGTCTCCAGAACAAACCATCATTATACAATAACCTGCCTATAATCTGCCTAGTCACCCTAATTACCCTAGTGAAGCCTTTAAATGTGACTTTAAGCTGTATAGAAGTTTCTTGAAGAATATCTAGTCTAATATTATTTACTGTCATCATGACAAAGAGAAAATAGATCAGTTATTAGAGATGAGTTATTAACACTATTATGATTAGAAATGTGTTGAAGAAATCTGCTCTCCGTTTACCAGAAATTGGGGAAAAAATAAACAGGGGGGCGAATAATTCTGACCTCAACTACTGTACATATAACTATATAGCAATAGCCAACTCAGATCACCACATAAATAAACATAAAAGGTAACAATAAAGTTAATCATCATCAAATAAAATGGCAATTATAAAGTAAACAAAATTATAACCAATCAAAACATGTTTAAACAGCAGGAGCATCCAATGTGTATGAGCAAAACACAACTTAAAGCTTGTGCAGAAACCCAGCTGCAGTACAAATGAATGCAAATATGTATTGGACCTAGCTCGCTTCGAGTATACCTCCTGCCGGATGATAATATAAATATAAATCACTATTAAACTAATCCACAATAGCTTCTTTTCATTTCATAATTAGAGTGTGTGTGCTGTGTGTTTATTTTGTACATGTAAATACACACATGCACGCATATATTTGATTTTTTTTTATTTAGATATAAAATGTACATGATACAAATTATATATAAATGTAAAAGTGACACAAAACAATATTTTTATATATGTTAATAAACACTCACCGGCCACTTTATTAGGTACACCTTACTAGTACCGGGTTGGACCCCTTTTTTGTCTTCAGAACTGCTTTAATCCTTGGTGTCGTAGATTCAGCAAGCTACTGGAAATATTCCTCAGAGATTTTGCTCCATATTGACATGATAGCATCACACAGTTGCTGCAGATTTTTGTCGGCTGCACATCCATGATGCCAATCTCCCGTTCCACCACATCCCAAAGCTGCTCTATTGGATTGAGCTCTGGTGACTGTGGAGGCCATTTGAGTACAGTGAACTCATCGTCATGTTCAAAAACCAGTCTGAGATGATTGAGCTTTATGACATGCTGCGTTATCCTGCTGGAAGTAGCCATCAGAAGATGGAGACACTGTGCTCATAAAGGGATGGACATGGTCAGCAGCAATACTCAGGTAGGCTGTGGCGTTGATGCTCAATTGGTACTAATGGACCCAAAGAAAATCTCCCCCACACCATTACACCACCACCACCAGCCTGAACCGCTGATACAAGGCAGGATGATCCATGCTTTCATGTTTTCTGAGCCGAGCATCTGAATGTGTCAGCAGAAATGGAGACTCATCAGAGCAGCAACGTTTCTCCAATCTTCTATTGTCCAGTTTTGGTGAGTCTGTGTGAATTGTAGCCTCAGTTTCCTGTTCTTAGCTGACAGGAGCGGCACCCGGTGTGCTCTTCTGCTGCTGTAGCCCATCCGCCTCAAGGTTGGACGTGTTGTGTGTTCAGAGATGCTCTTCTGCAGAGCTCGGTTGTAACGAGTGCTTATTTGAGTTACTGTTGCCTTTCTATCAGCTGGAACCAGTCTGGCCATTCTCCTCTGACCTCTTCAACAAGGCATTTGCGCCCACAGAACTGCCGCTCACTGGATATTTCCTCTTTGTCGGAGCATTCTCTGTAAATCCTAGAGATGGTTGTGCGTGAAAATCCCAGCAGATCAGCAGTTTCTGAAATACTCAGAGCAGCCCGTCTGGCAGCAACAACCATGCCACATTCAGAGTCTTTTAAATCCCCTTTCTTCCCCATTCTGATGCTCAGTCTGACCTGCAGCAGGTCATCTTGACCATGTCTACATGCATAACATATGCTGCATTAACGAGCAGTAGTACAGGTGTGCCTAATAAAGTGGCCAGTGAGTGTATAAAACACATATATTGTCAAAACAAACTTTTATTTGGAATGTGATTATTCACAATTCATGTTTGCCCAACACTAATTGAAAACAATCAATTGTAACATCTTCCTGCTACTGTGTCAGTAATAGTTTGTAATCCTGATGTAATCCTTAAAAGTAACTGTAATACGATTACAAGTAGCTAAGGAGTAGCTTACTCTGAATCACAATCACTTGATTTTTGTAACCTGATTAGGCAATATAATCCAGCTCAATGTTTGATTATGTTATAGTATATGGATGTGTTGTAGTATATTAACGCTCTCTGTTTCAGACACTCAGCCTTCATACACCACCAAAGTGTCTCTGAGCTGCCTGCTGTAGAAGCACATCGACTGCAGATTTACACCAGTGTGTTTCAACCACGCCTGTGCTTTAGTCTCTCATTCCTCGTGCAATCAGAAGTGCAGCGTCAACCAGCTGTTTGAGGGTTTGGATTTCTTCTGTAGCAGTGTTTAAGTCGCTCTGGATTAAAGTGTCTGCTAAATGACTAAATGTAATGTAAATGTGTTTAAACGGGTCATGAGCTGAGAAATCTAAACTGCATTTGGATATAGAAGAGCTTATAAAACACACAAAAATGATTTTCTTAGAGGTTTTGTGTTGTTTCTGGGATGAATATTTAAGATTTCTTAATAAATATTGTTTTATTTTCAGAATTAAGTGAGTTTTTTTCCTTAAAACAAGCTTAACAATCTGCCAATGGAGTAAGCTAACTTGTTTTAAAGAAAAACTCACTTAATTATGACTTCTTTATTATTGTTATTAATAGACATTATATTGGATATTGTTATCCAAACCGGGAGGAGGCCTCAGGGATGACCCAGGACTCGCTGGAGGGACTATGTCTCTCAGCTGGCCTGAGAACGCCTCGGGATCCCCCCGGAGGAGCTGGAGGAAGTGGCTGGGATAGATGGAAGTCTGGGGTTCTCTCCTAAGACTGCTGCCCCCGCGACCTGGCCCCAGAAAAGCAGCAGAAAATGAATGAATGAATGATCCAAATATCAAACAATTTTAATAAATATTTAGACTAGAAACAAGACAAACTCATTAGAAAAGCATTTTTGTAGTGAGAGTTCTGAAACAGCTCCTAAAAATGACAATTGCTCATCAATTATGATGTTTTAATATAAAAATCTGAGATTATAAGTAGAGAAAATGACTAAATAAAGCAGTAAAGTAGTTCATGACCCCTTTAAGAAAAGACATCAGTGATTGTTTTGATTTATTATTATTCTTTCTAGATCCCAGACCTATTTGGATGTGCTTTTCTGAGTTGATCTCCATTGTTTAGTTTGATTTGATGTGACCAAACGCTTCCCAGCATGATGACGTCAGTGTTTTATTATGCATATCACCATCATCATAAAGTGTAATGTATTGTGATTAAATCTTTTTCATGCACTTCACCCTCTGCTATTATTATAATGCAACACAATCTGTAGCCAATCCTGGTATCTGAAGTGATTTATTGAAACATTGATCAATGAAAAGCTCACTGGTAACAAACGTCAGCAAATGCATGCTTCATGTGCACTGAACGCATCGCTAAATCAGCAGTGTTGGGGGTAATGCATTACAAGTTACGTAATAATATGACTAATATGAGTGGCCAGTAAAGTAATGCATCAGAAAAAAAGATTAAGCCTCAGCTAAAGTAAGCTAACGTAACGCATTACTTACAATGAAAAGTAATGCAACTATAGCTTTCTAGAGGAGTAACTCAATATTGTAATGCATTAACTTTTGTCATGATACGTAAATAATACAACTTGATTATGATGCAGTTTAACTTTCCCCAACACTGTCAGTAAAACCTCCTTAAACCCACGACTGCATAGACATGAAGAATGGCACTGAAGCCCACTTATTCATTAAAAACAAAGTGCAGTTCACTGGAAAACATTGATCAAATCAGTTTGGAGCTTCTTTAGTCCTTATGTGGGCATCTATAGCACCGACTGCATAAACACACTGCAATAAATGCTTTCTTTACTTAGAGCTTGTCTTGTTTCTAGTCCAAATATATAAAGATTCTGAAATCAAGAAGCATTTTCTAGACAAGTGAACATATCGTCTTGTTTTATAAATATTGCGTCAGAATGAAATGAAATTTTTAATAAAACAAGCTAAATCATCTGCATCTGAAATAATCTTGCTCTTCCTCTTGATGTAATCATTTTGCTTGTTTTAAGGGTAAACTCACTTCAATAGGACTCGTTAATTATGAAAATACAACTTATTTTTTTGATTTAAGAATTTTTAGATGTTTGGACTAGAGACAGGACAAAAAATTAAGCATAAAAACCATTTTTTTGCAGTGCAGAGTCTAATCTACACTTATTTTCAAGTATGCATATTAATAATAATCAGGTCCCCAGAATTGGCAATTAAAACACTTGCTCTTCTGTGTGCTGCTCAAATGCATCTGTAACGCTACAGACATTCAAACATGCATCTAAACGCAGAAACTAACACAGATTTAGGAGTGTAGCTCATTGTTAACTGAAAAAAAAACAAAAACAAAAAGATGTTCAACTCAGTGTTTCTGTTTCATTTTCCAGCCCAATTAAACAAATACATTAAAATGCTAATATAATTTATTTACTGAAACTTTGCAATTTACTGCAAAAACAACAACAAAAAAGCTTTTCAGGTTTAGAATTGGTCTCGTTTTAATTCCAAATATCTAAAGAAAATCAAGAAACATTACAAGCAAAAACACTGTTGTATTTTCAAACATAATGTCAAAATAAAGTAAGTTTTTCCTTAAAACAAGCAAATCTTATGTTCAGTTTGAAATGAGACTATTTTAGATACTTATTTTACTTCTTTTAAGGAAAGACGCAGCTAATTTTGAATTATTACTTCTGAAAATACGACAATATTTTAAGAAAATGCTTCTTCATTTAAGAATATTTAGATATTTAGACTAGAAATAACACCAAAACTCGAAGTAAGAACGGTATTTGCTTTGTTTTTTGCAGTTAAGATATTACGCTATTTTAAATAGAAAATAAAACTAAAAACTGAGTTTGGTTTAATTAAAGTCTCATAGGTATCTAGTTAAAAAAAAACACTTTATTTTCTAAAAATACTATCTAAAAGGGATCGTTCACAACAATCTACAGTATCACAGTTAATTTACAGTCAAATGTACAGTTCATTTAAATTTACCTGCACAAAATTGAACATTATTTGCAATATTATTGGCCTTTATCCATCATCAACAAACAGGCGCTCACTGCACCGGCTTGCCCAGACTGTGAATTAAAGCTTAAATTATTGTACACTGCAAAAAATGCTTTTCTTACTTCGAATTTTGTCTTGTTTCTAGTCCAAATATCTAAAAGTTCTTAAATCAAGAAGCATTTTCTAGACAAGCAAAACATATTGTCTTGTTTTAGGAAATAATCTTATAATCTAAAGTTTTTCCTTAAATCAAGCTTAATAATCTGCCAATGGAGTCAGCAAAATCATCTGATCACAAATCGAAAAACAAGATTATTTTGCTTACTCCATTGGCAGATTATTAAGCTTGATTTAAGGAAAAACTCGCTTCATTTTGGCAGATTATTTCCTTAAACAAGACAATATGTTTTGCTTGTCTAGAAATGCTTCTTGATTTAAGAATTTGTAGATATTTGGACTAGAAACAAGACAAAATTCTAAGTAAGAAAAGCATTTTTGCAGTGTAAATAATGTTTAATCTTGCGCTTACACATACATTTTGCTTCCTATGAGCTCAGTCTATCATCAGGGAATTGACTTTAACTGTTTGCATGTGTTTACTTTTAATCTTAAAAATGGTTGACCGTTAATGGCCATTATATAAACTTATAAACATAATATAATACAGCTAAAATCTTCTTTAATATTAAATATAAAAATCATCAACATCCTAAACAACATTAAGTAAATTAAATCAAGAGGGCAACTCTGTGGCTCAGATGTTAGCACTGTGGCCTCTGTGGGTCAGCTGGTGTTTCTGTGTGGAGTTTGCATGTTCTCCCCGTGTTGGCGTGGGTTTCCTCCGGGTGCTCCGGTTTCACCCACAGTCCAAACACATGCGCTATAGGGGAACTGATGAACTGAATTGAACAGTGTATGAATGTGTATGGGTGTTTCCCAGTACTGGGTTGTGGCTAGAAGGGCATCCGCTGTGTAAAACATAAGCTGGAATAGTTGGCGGTTCATTCCACTGTGGGCACCCATAATGAATAAAGGGACTAAGCAGAAGGAAAATGAATGAATGACATTAAATCAACTGTAAATGATCATTGTTTGGTGAACTACCCCTTTAATATCTTACACTAGTTCATCTTGATGTGTGTATATATGAACATCTTCTATGGAAAACAAGGCACAAAGACTAAGTGAGAAATTGATTTGTTTTCACTGCAAGAAATGCATTTGATTTGTTTTTTCTTGCCTTGTTTTTAGTCCAAATATCTACAAATCCCTAAATTAAGAAGCATTATCTAGACAAGTAAAAGCAGCTTTATTTTGAGAAATAATAAGTCAAGATGAAGTGATTTGTTTTCCTTAACCCAAGCTAAAATTATCATATTTAAAAGTTTATTTTACTATGTTTACTAGTTTACTTTACTAATAATCATACTGATTGATTATTTAGCTTGTTTAAAAGAAAAACTCACTTAATTTCGACTCATTTCTGAAAATAAAGCAGTATGTTTTGCTCATCTAGAAAATCCTTCTAGATTTAAGAATATTTTAGATGTTTGGACTAGAAACAACACAACATCAATCATTTTTTGCAGTGTTTTGCTGCAGTCTATAACAAATCAGTCAAAAAATCCTGCTACATGTAAATAAACTCAAACTGGCTTCACAAAGCATTTAAAACATACAAACAAAGAACATTCAAATTAAATAAATCACAAAATTAATTAAGAGACTGCTCTGTTAGGAAGCAGCAGTAAATCATTAAAGCCATCTTTAAAACAACATTTGATTTGTAAAGAAAGCGGGATTTAAAGTGACAGTACATTCAAAATAATGAACATTCACTCATTATTTCCTCACATTCAAGTTTTTATAAACTCTTACACTGCAAAAAAGCTTTTCTGACTTAAGATTTATTAAATACAGTTTACATTTTCAGATGATTTTGCTCGTTTTAAGACAAAAAGTCACTTAATATTCACTTATTATTTCTGAAATCAAAAGCTCGTCTATAAATGCTTCTTGATTTGAGAGTTTTTAGATATTTGGACTAGAAACAAGAATAAAACTCACAGTAAGAAAAGCATTTCTGCAGTCGGATTTTTTTGTTGTTGTTGTTGAAACGCAAAACAAGATATTCTGAAGAGTGTTGGAAACAGATAATCATTGACATCCATAAACAAAACTAAATATTAATTGTTTTTCTCCAGCATTCTTCAATATACAGGTGAAATCAAAATTATTCAGCCCCTCTAACATTTGTTCTTCTGGAGAAAGTCTTATTTGTTTTATTTCGGCTAGAATAAAAGCAATTTTTAATTGTTTTAAAGCCATGTTAAGGTCAATATTATTCGCCCCTTCAGCAATATTAGTGTTGGATTGTCTCCAGAACAAACCACTGTTATACAATGACTTGCCTAATTACCCTAACTTTACCCTAATTACCCTAGTGAAGCCTTTACATGTCACTTTAAGCTGAACACTAGTGTCTTGAAGAATATCAAGTCTAATATTATGTGCTCTCATCATGGCAAAGAGAAAATAGATCAGTTATTAGAGATGAGTTATTAACACTATTATGACTTAAGATGTGTTGAAGAAATCTGCTCTCCGTTAAACAGAAATTGGGGGGAAAATATACAGGAGGGTGAATAATTCTGACTTTAACTTCCTAAATCCTCCTAAAGTAACTCATAAAAGTTTAGAAACACTCGAGTGTAAGAAAATAATGATGTAATGTTCATGTCTGGGTGAACGGTCACTTTAATAAACATCAGAAAGGCATAAATCAAGTGTTGTGCATGAACCGTGAGGTAGCAGCTCTGTGTAAAAGCGATGAATTACACTGCAAAAACTGCTTATGTGATAAAATATCTAAAGATTCTTAAATCAAGCAGCATTTTGTAGAAGAGCAAATTATTGTCTTGTTTCCAGAAATAATGAGTCAAAATTAAGTGAGGTTTTCCCTTAAAAGGAGCTTAAAATAATCTTGTTTTTGATTTGAAATAAGATTATTTTGCTTATTATTTAGCTTAATACTCACTTAATTTTGACTCATCGTTTCTGAAAACCCACTGTATGTTTTGCTTGTCTAGAAAATGCTTCTTGATTTAAGACTTTTCAGATATTTAGACTAGAAACAGGTAAGAAAAGCATGTTTTTGCAGTTTATATATTAATTTTTGTTGATAATACTTCATTTAATCAAAGCTGCATCGGATCTAAAGACTGTGATTATGTGTGTTCTGTGCGCTGTGTGTTTAAACACTCGTCATTATTGCATCTGTACAAGCTTAGCGCAGAGGTTAAAGTTGATCACAAATAAAAGACAGCACACACACTGCAAAATAAAGTCTTTCTTACTGAGTTTCTGTCTTGTTTCTAGTGCAAATATCTAAACATTTTTAAAATCCAGAAACATTTTCTGGACAAGCAAATATTATTGTTTTGTTTTCAGAAATAATGAGTCAAAATTAAATGACAAAGCAGACTTTTAAACAGAAATGGAGTAAATGGCTGACTGAGGAGAACTCAAACACAAAATAATTATTCATATGTAAACATTTACATAACCATCATAATTATGGAGGTTATGCATTATTGACAATGTTTGGCAACTTTTTATTTTTGTTTTGGTCAAATTAATAAAGGTACAGGAGCTATCTCTGGGGCAGTGCCTTTTCAAAGGGTACAAATTTGTGCCTAAAGGGTCCATAATGGTACTTTTTAGGTACATTTGGGTACTAATATGCACCTTTGAGGTACCATAGTGGACTCCTTGGGTACAAATGTGTATCTTTTGAAAAGGTTCTGCCCCCAGAGACAGCTCCTGTACTTTTAATTCTGGGAATGTACAGTATATGTGGTATGATATGTATGTATATATTTCTCTCTCACTGGTTCTGTTCATAAAAAAAATAAATAAATAAATACCTCAATAAAATTATGGATGTATATTTCAAAATCAAAATTAAGAGGAAAATAATTCTTTATATTTGAACATTTACATTACTATGGAGGTTATGCATCATTGAGAGTATATATTCGGCAACGTATTGTTTTTGCTGTGGTTAAATTAATAATTCATATTTATATGCATGTATGTGTATGGAATGGATTTATACAGTATACGTGGTATGATATGCATTTATATATGTATTTCCCTCTCACTGGTTATATGTTCCTAACGAAAATAATCAAACATCAAGTATAAATATGTATTTCAAAGTCAAAATTATTTGAAAAATTATTATTCATATTTGAACAGGTTATGCATTGAGTGAGTGTATTTGGCAACCTTATATTTGTTGTGGTTAAATTAATAATTCATATTTTTTTGTATACGTGTATGTATGTATATGGAATGGATATATGCAGTATGTGTAATGATATGTGCATATTTAAGTATATATATATATATATATATATATATATATATATATATATATATATATATATATATATATATATACTTAAAAAATCTATGAAAACGAAAATACATATATACATACATACATATACATACATTATATATATAGTGGGGTAAGTAAAATAATTCATTTTCCTTTTAAAGTGAAAACAAGATTATTTTACATCTCATTGTCCGTTTATTTTGCTCGTTTTAAAAGTAAAACGTACTTAATTTTATTACTTCAATAATTAATATAATTATATAATTTTATTACTTTAATAATTTATTACTTTATTACTTACTTTAATTTTAAAAAGTCTATATTATATACTTCTCCAGAAAATGCTTCTTGATTTATTTTGGACTAGAAACAAGAAAAAAACTCTAAGTAAAAAAAGGATTATTTGCAGAGTGAGCTTTACATTCAGATACACGGCAGCACATAAACTATGCCAAAATATGAAGAAGGCACATTCTCTTTTAAAGAACAAAACAAAGATAAAAATAAAGACACTTCACGGTAAAGTCTGACATTAGTTTAACATGAACTAACAATGATGAAGGGAGAAATAATTACAACTGTAAAGCACACAGTGCTCATTGTTAGTTCATGTTTTGAAGGGAAACACTGAAAAATGTGTTTATTACTCAGAGTTTTTGTAATGTTTCTAATACAAATATGATATATTTCTTAAATCAAGAAGCATTTTATATAATATAGTTTTGTTTTCAGAAATGAGAAGTGAGTTTTGGATTAAACAAGATCAATAATCTGACAATAGAGTGATAAAATAATCTTGTTTTTGTTTTGAAATAATCAGATTATTTTGCTTTTTTTAAGGAAAAACTCACTTAATTTTGACTCTTTTTTTTTTTTGGAAAACAAGACTACTTTTTGCTTGTCTAGACAATGTTTCTTGATTAAAGAATTAGAGTCAACTGGTGCTGATTTCCAACATTCTTCAAAATATCTTTTTTTTTTTTTTAACAGAACTCAAAGCTTTACACTGCATAAAAATGCCTTTCTTGGAGTTTTTTTTTTGTCTCGTTTCTAGTCCAAATATCTAAAATTACTTAAATCAAAAAGCATTTTCTTGAGTAGACATGCAAAAATATATAGTTTTGTTTTCAGAAATGATGTTAAAATTAAAAGTTTTTCCTTTAGGCAATAAAATAATCTGCCAACAGTCTCAGAAACATAATAAAGCATAAAAATGCTGGTTTTAAGGAGAAACTCACTTCATTTTGACTCATTATTTCTGAAAACAAAACAACATAGTGGTCTAGACAATGCTTCCGGATTTAAAAACTTAGATATTTAAACAAGACACAAGACAAAAACACAACTTAAGAAAAGCTTTATGAGTTCTGTTGAACACAAAAAAAGATAACTTGAAGAATGTTAGAAATCAGCACCTATTGACTACCATATATTTTTGTATGAGAGTCAATGGGTGCTGATTTCCAACATTCTTCAAAGTATCTTCTTTTTTGTTATTGTTCAACAGAACTCTTAAAGCTTTACACTGCATAAAAAGATTTTTTTTTTGTCTTGTTTCAAGTTTAAATATCTAACATTTCTTAAATCAAGACACATTTTCTAGAGTAGACAAAAAATATAGTCTTGTTTTCAGAAATAATAAGTTAAGAGTCTTTTCTAAAAACAATTAAAATAATCTGCCAATGCATAGAGTAAAATAAACTTATTTCAAAAGCAAAAACATTTATTTTACTCACATCACTGGCAGATTATTGTGCTTGTTTTAATAAAAAAAAACTCACTTCATTTTGACTCATTTCTGAAGCCAAAACTACATTGACTGCTTGTCCAGAAAATGCTTGCTGATATAAGAACTCAGATACTTATAGAAGAAACAAAGCAAAAACACAACGTAAGAAAAGATTTGAGCTCTGTTGAACACAAAAGAAGATGTTTTATAGAATGTTGGAAAGTTTAATGTTGTGAACAAGCATTAACTCATACAAAAAATATACTATGGGAGTCAATGGGTGCTGATTTCCAACATTCTTCAAAATATCTTCTTTTTTGTGTTCAACAGAACTCAAAGCTTTACAATGCAAAAAATGCTTTCTTACTTTTCAATGCTTCAATGCTTTCTTACAAGTTCAAATATCTAACATTTCTTAAATCAAGAAGCATTTTTTAGAGTATACAAGCAAAAAAGTTGTGTTCAGAAATAATAAGTTAAAATTAAGAGGATTTTCCTTAAAGCAATTAAAATAATCTGCCAATGCATCGAGTAAAATAAACTTATTTCAAAGCAAAAACAAGATTATTTTACTCGCATCACTGGCAGAATATTGTGCTTGTTTCTGAGTAAAATAATCTTGTTTTTGCATTGAAATAAGTACATTTTACTTACTCTAGAGCAGATTATTGTGCGTGTTTTAAAGAGAAACTCACGTCATTTTGACTCATTATTTCTGAAGGCAAAACAACATAGTCTGCTAGTCCAGAAATGATTCTTCATTTGAGAACGTTTAAATATTTAAACTAGAAACAAGTGAAAAACCTAAAGTAAGAAAAGCTCTGTTGAACACAAAAGAAGATATTTTGAAGAATGTTGGAAAGGTTAATGTCGCAAACCAGCATTAACTCATACAAAATATAAACTATGGGAGTCAAGGGGTTTTCAAAATATCTTCTTCAGTCTTAAGAAAACGAAGTAAAAAAAAAAGCCTATTCTGCAATATAGAAGCACTTCAGTTTGAGTAAATCTTCATTTCTGTGTGAACGAGCCCTTTAACTAATGTTAACAAGACCGTACAGTAAAGTGTCACCAAAATCGACAGACATTCAGTAAAAGCAGTATTTTAGACTCGAACCCTCCTCCTCCTCCTCAGCGTGTCTATAAGCTGCTGTCCTGCAGAAGTGGTTCGATGTCCTCGTCGCTGGCAGGAAGTGACCCGCCAGCCAGGATGCTGCTCATGGGCTCCGTCACTACGCACGTGCTGCTGCTGCTGCAGGTCTTCACGAGTGGAGCGGGTTGTGAAGGGATGAACACGGCCACCAGCAGCGCCAACACAACCGTACACGCACCGAACACAAACGGCGGACCCGGAACGACAGACTTCTGCAACACACAAATCAGTACACTCAACACATTACACACTGTTAATGAACGCTCCAGCATAGTGAAACTGTACCATGTTATACTATAGTGTTTACTGCAATTAGAGAAAACTACAGTATCGGGTCATTTGTTTAGTAACTATTGCTGTTGTGTTACCATAGCAACAGTGGAATGACCACAACAGATCAATTACTGTAGTTATCGTGTTACCATAGCAACTGTAGAATCACCACAACAAATCAATTATTAAAGCCATAGCAACTGTGGAATAACAACAGATCAACAGTTGTCATGTTACCATAGCAACTGTAGGATCACAACAACTGATCAATTACTAAAGCTGTTGTGTTACCTTAGCAACTGTGGAATCACCACAACAGATCAATTACTATAGTTGTTGTTACCATAGCAACTGTAGTATCACAATAACAGATCAATTACTACAGTTGTTGTGTTACCTTAGCAACTGTGGAATCACCCCAACAGATCAATTACTATAGTTGTTGTGTTACCATAGCAACAGTGGAATCACCACAATAGATCAGTTACTATAGTTGTCATGTTACCATAGCAACTGTGGAATCACCACAACAGATCAATTACTATAGTTGTTGTGTTACCATAGCAACAGTGGAATCACTACAACAGATCAATTACTATAGTTGTTGTGTTACCATAGCAACCGTGGAATCACCACAACAGAATAATATAATATAATATAGTTTGGTTCAGAAACACTACAGTATTACTATAAATTACTATTGTATTTTTTTTTTTATTTGGAAAAATATATGATGATACAGAAAATGTTATTTTGTGTTAAGATTTACTTTTTAAGGTGTTATTTCAAGCACTAAAAATCATGAACTACAAGAATTCTCCCCTTTAAGTCATTTATTATTAATGAACAACCTGGTCTGTTGAAAGTTTATAAGTTACCTTTAAAAATCAATGAATGTCTCAGTGGATTAAATGAGTGTAATAATTATCTGACCTGTTTAGTGTCGGGTGTGACCGCGGAATTCGACTGAACGGTACTTATGTCATTCAGCTCCACGTTAAAGAGGAAGAATATGAATCCAAAGAGAAAGGGGCCGAGTCCATTACACAGACCCCGAATCCCAGTGATGATCCCCTGAACGGCTCCTAAAACACAAACACAGTCAAAACACTGCTATACTGGAGATATATATATATATGATACAAATTCTACATAAATTGAAATATTCTTTATATGTGTGTGTACCACAGATACTTAATAAAATAATACACACACATATCTTATGTCAAAACAAACTTTGATTTTTAGATGTGACCTTTGGGTATGAGTAATCTTTGCTCACCACTAATTATTATAAAAAAATAAATCCTTAAAATGATAAATCACAATGTGGATGTGGACAGCATCTTGATAAAGCTCAGTTTTCACAGAACACAAAGGCATATCAGTGTAAACGAATGGAAAAAGTGTAGAGATAAAGATGTTCAGCCGTCTCTAGCTCAGTGTGTATGTGGTAACAGTGTGCTGCTTTATTCTGTTACCCTGCTGGTCACGGTCGGTACAGCGGGACACCAGGGCACTGATTGCAGGGAATGTAATGCTGGACAGGGCAGCGACGGCTCCGGCGGCCCACATCATCCTACAAACACAAAACACTGCACTTAATATAAACCCAGAACAAACTAAATAACCCTTTCAAGCTGCAGATCTTAATACTCTAGCTCTGTGGTTCTCAAACTGGGGGTCGCAGAATAATTTCAGGGGGTCGCGAGAGTGATTTAAAAATTGTGTATATTTCAGTGATTATAATATATGTTTTTCAGTAGCTAATATTTTTCGATTTGTTTAAAGATGTTACTAAAGTTAGTATTGTTTTGAAAGGTGAATGGAACATCATAACTGTGCAGCGAATCACTCGCTAGTTATCAATACAGCATGCATCTGGATATGAAAACCGTAACTGCAGAGATTAATAAATTTTTAATTCGCAAATCTAAAAATGTTGAGGAAACTGTGGACAGTTGGTCATCAGAACAGTCTACTTTGACTAAATTCATCAAGTATTGACACATTGAGGCAGAATGCAGTAAACAAAGTCCGCAACGCTTGCCCGCCTTCGTGCTCTACTTATTGGCCCACAGCTCTAAAACTGAACGTGAATGGATTGGTTAAAATCAGCTGTCAATCACTCAGTCAACGCCTTCTGCATTCAGACGACAGGGAGAGCTGAGCTACAACCGTGAAAATGTAACGCGATGAAGATGAGAATATGAAAACAACACAGACAGATTTTGTATTAGAAGCCACCAAAATCTACAAATAATGGCACATCTGATTAACGTGACTGATCATGTGCTGAATGTTAATCCACCATCTACACTTTTCCAAGAGTGGATAAAAGACTTCCATTGGCTTCAAGTCTGCCATGAAAATAAAGCATTCACTTTAAAGGTCTGTGGGATGGAATTTTCAGGAACTGTTTGCCAAATCTACACATTTAAGCACGAGAGGTTCTGTTTAATCCTTCATTTAATCGCCAGATGCTGTCAGCCGTGCAAGTGGCAGCTATATGTACAATATCAGACAGCACCCCTGAGAACTGTTATCGTTAACAGATTCATTCATGTCAAGCAGTGTGTGCAGGGCCGGTGAGCGCTCCGTGTATCTTTTGGTCACTCAATTATGTTATATTATATTATATTATATTATATATTGTATGTATATATAAATATATATATATATATTTTTTTTTTTGCTTGTTAGTTTTGATTAGTGATGAATTTCAAAGACAATAAATAGGTTTATAAAACTTGGTGGGTGCGCCAACATTTTTTTTAAGTTAGGAACATCTGTGCTACCAAGCAAAAATGTTAATTTCGAGCCCTGTAATGTATAGTAAATATAGTTTAAATATTGTGAACAGCTTAAAATAAGTTATTTTTGTTGCTTGTATATGCTTTGGTAATAGGGGGTCATGAGTTCTTGATGATCTTACATTGGGGGTCACTGACTTAAAAGTTTGAGAACCACTGCTCTAGCTCGGGGATTTCCAAACTTTTTTATTCCTGCAACCCACCTAGGCAAGTAATTCAATCTCAAGACCCACCATAATATTGAAAAATGGGTAAAAAAAATATCCATTCAAAGCAGTCAAAAATATATGGTGCGCGGCTTTTTGGATTTTGGGATTTGATATGCACAAAATGAGGCTTGAAGTGTTTTTTGTGGGATGCTGGCTGTAACTCATTTTTTTGTTGTTGAAAAAAAACTCTTCTGTTTTCAGAAGAGAATATGATCAACCTTTGATCAAGCCCCTGGATTATGATCAAGCCCCGTCACATCGCAGTAAATTCCACTGCTGGTGTAGTCATAAGAAACTAAGCAGCTTTTTAATCGACTACTACAAGCTGGGAAAACGTCAGATAAATATGCCAATGCAATTAACATTAATGCTGAATAGATGTAATATTCACACATTTGCTTGAGGAAGGAATGATGGGGGTAGTTACATTACTATTACTATTTTCCATAACATCTATGCCCTTCCATAACATTAGCTGACGTTAAACCTAACAGATAGCACTATATCTATTTATTGATTTGCAATCTGTCAACGTTGGGATGTAAAAAATATGGGACAACAAATAGCTTCAAATGATAGAATACATAGCAAACATTAGAAAATATTAACTATAAAATAAAAGGTTTAGATTAATAAAATCAATGGCCTATCCAGAAATTAAATAAAGCTATAAAATCTATTTCACTTTGATTGTATTTGCATATTGATTAAAGTTACTATAGTTATTTAGTGAAGAGCAGGAAATGAATCTCTCATTGTGTTTTGCTTGATATCAGAGGTGTTCATGTAAGAATGAACAGATCTATAATGAAGCATTCGACTACTTTAGTAACTGTTTGTGCTCATTTAAGAGAAAATTAGTAGTGTTTAAAATAAAACACGCAGGACAGAGCAAAAAATGTAAAAAAAAAAAAACGAAAAAAATAAGCACTTTCCCGACGGTCACTTACTGACAGCAGCGCTCAGCGCGAGCTCTACCAGCTGAACACAGATTGCGAGGGCTCAAACGGAGCAGTGCTCATAATGTCGAGGAAAAAAAAAAGAAAAAGACAGCTGTGAAACATAACCAGCTTTGTCTTTTTTTAGGAAACACACTTTAGATCTTTTTAGGGTAAGAGGTTTTTGAGTTATTGCCGTCTATTGTACTGGTTTTGATTCACCACGATGTAAATATAGCTGTAGCTATGTGACGTTGCGGGACCCACCTTTGTTCACTGTGCGACCCACTAGGTCGTGACCCACAGCTTGAGAACCCCTACTCTAGCTGACCCCTCTGCGTGAGTTTCTTTATGGTGTTCATTATTTAGAAAGCTTCGCTTTAAAGTTGTAATAGTGCCGCATCAATATTGTCACATGACAGCCCAACTGATTCATGCACATATCGATTTTTGTTTTGTTTTTTCCCCCTTTTCTGCAAATATTGACAAATATCTATATAGATTATTCCAATTTTCAAATACATGTAAGAACATGTATCTGGTCATTAAACATGGCACAAATGCATTAATATGATTGCAAAAATGCTGAATAATATAAAATGTGATGATTTGTCCTCACCATGGCTCAGAGCCGAAGCCGTACCAGGCCAGCTGGAACAGCTGAAAGCCCAAACCCAGCAGAACTGTGCTTTTATTACCAATCTTCTTCATCAGAACGCTTAAAAGAAGAGTCTGCAAAAACAACCCATCATTAAATACAGAAAAACAGCTTATGTTAACATTAACTTACATTGATATTAATAAATGATCGAACTGAAGCTGAAGGCCTGTACCTGCGCTCCGATAGACAGGATTCCCACCATCGCAATAAAGCCTGCAATCGCTGCTGATGAGAAATTAATGACCTGAAGCAGAAGAACAGATTATAATGTGCGAGTCAGACAGAGCATCAGCAGCACTGAAAAAAATAAGGAAATCACAAGATTTTGTCTTGTTTTTAGTCCAAATATTTAAAAATCCTTAAATCAAGAAGCATTTTTAGACAATTAAAGAAATATAGTTTTGTTTTAAGAAATAACGAGTCAAAGTTGAAGTGAGATTTTTCTTTAAAATCAGCAAAATAATCTGCCAATGGTGCAGACAAAATAAACTTATGTAAAAATGAAAACAAGAGCTTTGTTTCTCTACAACGTCCTTCAATACAGACTGATTTAAGCAGCTTTGGCAGTAATAAACAGAAAAACAACAGCAACAAAAAACAGAATCAAAGTTCATTGAATATCAAATCAAAACCAAAACTAATTTATTTATAAAGCACAGTGGACTATATAAACATATTCTAACAGTGTCAAAAAAATTCAATCACGTCTAAAATAACACGGTATAGTCTTCATATTATTATATAAATAAATGTAATGACTCTTCATTAAAGCTTGAAACTTCATAACTCATTCATTCTTTTTATTCAGCTTAGTCCCTTTATTGAATAAAGTTTATTACTATAGTTATGTTGTACCACAGCAACAACATAATTACTACGGCAGTTTAATTCATGTAATTATCTATAATACGCTTCCAAACACTAGAGTATTTACTGTAGTATTTTTATGTAACGTGATGGCTTATACAGTATCTGCCGCATTGATGACAGGCAAATATATTTTAGCTGTGTAGAAAACTCACTCCTCTTCATGATATAAGAATCACGCCTAGCATATGTGGTTATTTTCTATTTAAATCTCCTTTGAAATATGGTATAAATCAATTAAATACAGACTTTCCTCTATGTCCCTCATTCAGTTTTATACTTCCTGCCCTTCATCTGAATTTCGCACGTCATCAGAACCACATGACTGAAAACAACCTATAACACAGTTATTTGTTTTGTAGACAATCCAACACTAATATTGCTGAAGGGGTTAATAATATTGACCTTAAAATGGCTTTAAAACAATTAAAAACTGCTTTTATTTTAGCTGAAATAAAACAAATAAGACTTTCTCCAGAAGAACAAATATTAGAGGAAATACTGTGAACAATTCCTGAATCTGTTACACATCATTTGGAAGAAGAAAATAAAAGGGCTAAATAGATGTATTGTGTACATCATATACACACACTCATTAAAAACCCTCACCTGTCCTAGATAGAGGAAAAAGCTGGAGTACTGTCCGGCCTCTGGGAGATACGACAGCAACACTGTGACACAGATCAGCAGCACTGTGGAGTCTTTCCCCACCTTCCTCAGAGACTGAAACACACACATTTGATCTTTTTTTATTTGTTATGACAACTACTTTAGTACTTTTTGTCTTATCAGTGTCCACAGAGTCTATAATCCCGTTTCTTCCATGCAATCAAAAGAACGAGAATACTGCAAATCGCAGAAATGTAAGGCTCTGCCATCTTGGTTTCTGTCTGTTCCCACAAGGAGCTCATCCTGTGAGGGATGCAAGGTGACAACATTCACTTTAATTCAGCAATTAAGCTTTTCTAAACTAATTAATTAAACTACAATGTAATTAACATTTAGGGCCGGACGATATGGCAAAAATGTATATCATGACCTATTTCGTTATTTTGGTCGATGCAATATAATTCCGATATCGATATGGACAATATTAAAAAGACGGGAAACAACTGCCAAGAACGCACACAATAGATGTCTGTACCTACAAATGTCGGCAAAAGTCTATAATGACATCCAGGCTCTTATAACCTTTTTTTTAAATAAAAAAAGTGCAAAAAAAAATTAATGTTAACTTTTTATTTGTATATAGCCTTTACAAACAGATGAGTTTATTCATAGTTCTGGTTGCTTTTCATCTTGAACGTCCTTTTAGGGTTCTATCTGTCTATTTATTAGAGGTGCGAACCTATACTGGTCTCACGGTTCGGTTGTGATTATCATGCCTTCGATTCGGTTCAATTCGATATCTCAGTGCATTGACGATGCTTTCCATATACAGTGTTATATTTTAGGGGGAAGACTATAACAAGCTGTCTGTATAAACACACAGACACACAGCACCACACTGTCTCTGTATATTTGTTGGTGTACTATCCTTTTAATAACATTGTGTGAGACATATTTTATATTAGAATATAAGGGCTCTTAATTCTTATTGTTTTATTATTATTTTATCAAATTACTAAATGTTTTTAATTATTTACTTTTGATTTGTGTTAATAATTAATACAATTACTACATTTTATTTTTATTTATTAATTACTTTTTATATGTTTATTTGTTGTTGTTATTTTTAATATGAATAATTTATTCAATCCTTCATTTTTTTTCCTTCAGCTTAGTCCTTTTATTTATCAGGGATCGCCACAGTGGAATGAACCGCCAACTATTCCAGCATATTTTTCATGCAGCGGATACCCTTCCAGCCGCAACCCAGCACTGGGAAACACCCATATACACATTTACACACTCACTCAAACACTCAGGCCAATTTAGTTCATCAACTAGCTGAAACTCACAGCGAAGGGATCAGCCTGCTCCCAGGAGATGGGAAAACCCCATGATGAGAGTCTCATTTTATCGGGCAGAGATTCGGGAACCACCAGCAGGACGAACAGAATATCCAGCACTGCGATGATGGTGGCCAAGAGAACCACCAGACTGTCTCCATAGTGGATGGACAGAAACGCTCCGATCGCTGGACTCGTCACCAGACTCGCCGCAAACGTCGCAGACACCTGACAACATACAAAACACATTCAGTAATATAATATTAGTCATTGCTGGAATCAGTCTGGACTGTAAAACGTGCAAGTTACTTTGTCTGAAATGTAACGTAAGAATTCAATAAGCACTTGAATTCATTCATTTTCCTCCGGCTTAGTCCCTAATTCATCATTCAGCACACGTTTTACATAGCGGATACCATTCCAGCTGTAACCCAGTACTGGGAAACATCCATACACACACACACTCGTACACTACGGCCAATTTAGTTCATCAATTCCCCTATAGCGCATGTGTTTGGACTGTGGGGGAAACCGGAGCACCCGGAGGTAACCCAAGCCAACACAGGGAGAACATGCAAACTCCACACAGAAATGCCAACCGACCCAGCGGGGACTCAAACCAGCGACCTTCTTGTAATTTAATTACTTGACAAGTTTTTTTTACTTAACATGCTCAATTTTAACATTATATGCATAAAAACATATCTGATAACATACATGGGTATAAACATCTTATTTAATTGTTTCTTAAGCAATAGTCTGCATATTGTCATACAAAACTAACCTTATCAAAAATCTGGTTATTATGCAACACTTAACTCAAATTCAATAAGTAATTTAATGCAGACAATATGAATTAATAAAGATATTCTATAACGTATATAGTCATAAATTGTAATAACATTTAAAATTAAACATAAAAACGCACGTCTGTTTATTGGCCAGGTACAGTCATTATGTCTAAAATCATCAACTCATAACTCTATAGAAGTGGTCAAGGTGTAGTGTAAGCGTGGGTCTCACCAGTCCATACGCTGTGCTTCTTTCATGCTCTTCTGTAATATCAGCCACATACGCAAATATCACAGAAAACGTCACAGAGAAGAGTCCAGAGACTGACATCAGTGCGAAAAACCACCTGAAACACACACACACACACACACACACACACACACACACACACACACACACACACACACACACGTCACTTATGCATTTATACATGTTGCGTTAACCAAAGAAAAAATACTTCAACAACAGAAACATCCTGAAGTTTATCCAAACAAGTACCTTTACTTTACTTACTAGGTTATAAAGGAGGGATGTCTAGATTGATTGATTGATTTTATTTTGACAATTTTACCAAAAATGTATAAACAAGTCCAGTTAGAATAAATCATACATATTTTAAAAACTGACGAGGATAAAATAAGCAAAAAAGCCACAGGCTTATTGCCATTGTGGTCCTCGATATTCTTAAAAAAATGGACGAGCAACAGCTCAGCAACTCGGCACAACAAAAAACTTCAACTGTAAAACAACCATTTTTTAATTTCCCTTCTAAAAACACTCTCAATTTGAATCTCTTTAAATTGGTGGGCAAAATATTACAAGCAGAGCAGAGCTCGTACACAAAAAAGAATTTCTACCTGATTCAGTCTTGAATCTATATGGGTAAATATCCCTGCTGCGTGCTCTCGTAGAATGACTGTGCACCTCGCTGACTAAAACATAATAATTAAGAAAATATTTTGGAACCGTTTTCTTTAAAATCTTAAAAACCATCACTAATTTTAAAAACTTTACCCTCTTCTCAACTTTTAAAAAATTACTTTAACTATAATGTTCCTTATTTAAATGTGTCTGATCACATGCACAGAAAATGGACCCGATCATGTGATTTTAGATTCTAGTGGAATCGCACGTTACCTCCTGATTAGGACTCAAATAAATAAATATATATATATATAAAAATATCTCATCTGCGTTAACGTGATACGTTAACACAAGACTCTTATTGCGCGAAAAAAAAATATGGCTGTTAATCTATTCTCAAAATTGGGTTATAATAATAATAATAATAATTTTTATTTATATAGCGCCTTTCCAGACCACAAGGACACTTTACAAGGAATGTGACAAAAAGATAAACAAACATACATGAAGTCAAATATAGCAAACTGGAATTACACAAACAAGACCTAAGAGACATAGAGCAGAGGGGAGGTGGATCAGTTTAAGTGGTCAGTTTGGCAGATCAGAAGCAAAGAATTCAGAAAATAAGTGAATCTTAAGTAAGGATTTGAATTCAGAGATATTATTAGCAGAGCGGATTGAGCGTGGTAGAGCGTTCCAGAGTTTGGGTGCAATAACACTAAATGATTGGTTTCCTCCGGGTGCTCCAGTTTCCCCCACAGTCCAAACACATGCGGTACAGGTGAATTGGGTAGGCTAAATTGTCCGTAGTGTATGAGTGTGTTTGAATGTGTGTATGGATGTTTCCCAGAGATGGGTTGCGGCTGGAAGGGCATCCGCTGCGTAAAAACTTGCTGGATAAGTTGTCGGTTCATTCCGCTGTGGCGACCCCGGATTAATAAAGGGACTAAGCCGACAAGAGAATGAATGAATACTAAACGTTTTCTACATAATATACATCTATAATTTTCTAATTAAATATTCAGTTATGACAATAATGTGGAAACAGGAGCATATTCTTAATGTAATTTGAGGTTTAGGAATTGTTTTCTATTTCTTGAAAGGCAAAGTAAAGCAGAGAAGCAGAGCCGACCTCCAGTGGATTATAGAGAGCTTCATCTCTCATGCAGAACGACTGAACACTCAGCTGAGAGTCATGTGATACACACACACACACACGCACACGCACACGCACACGCACACGCACACGCACACGCACACACACACGCACACACACACACACACGACTATAGACTGCCAAAAGTTATAATGAATCAAGAGGAAGAGAAATAAGTGATTTATCAATGGTTTATCAGCCAAAGATACAGATATATATATATATATATTTTTTTTTTTTGGGAATTGTGGGGACGTTCCCCAGGTTTACATTGCTTTAATTATTGTTTTTATACTTTCTAAAAAAAACACAGTATAACAATAATAATAAAATAATACCACAATAAAAAAGATAGATAAAAATAAATAAATAATTAAATAAAAAAGTATCGTGTGCACATTCACACACATACACACACACACACACACTAATGAATGCACACAAGCAATTCCATGCGCACGCCTTTCCATGCCAACTCTTGCATGCACATACTTCCATGCATGTACTTCAAAACACACTCTTGCATGGACTTGCAGGCACACTAGCATGCACGCACACATGCACTTACTAATTACACACACAGACACACACGCAGGCGGGTCGTACCACGGGCTGATCCTCATTAGTGGGATGGGGGCGCAGGTGAAAAACACTGTGAGCAGCAGGAAGCTCTTTCTGCCCCAAACATCAGACAAGGCACCGACGAGAGGAGCGCTCATGAAGGACAGCAAACCCTGCAAACACATGCACATCTGAGTCTCAACACACACACACACACACACCACTGCAGCAGCAACACAACACTGCCACCGGTCCACTGATACACACAGCAGACACGACAGTAAGTGGTTTCTAGTCCAAATGTTTTATAGAAAGGTAAAAATTAATGTCTTGTTCCCTGATATAACATTTAGTGTGTAAACTCGGAGAATGGAAGAGGACAACAAATCATTGATTTACAATCCATTTTGCTGAAATACTAACAGAAAAACTCCATGATGGTGTTTTCAAGACTTTTAGAAAGAGAAAACAATAGTGTGAGACTGATAACGGCAGCCAGAGGAGAGAATCATGTCAGAGTTACTGTCCTGCAACCCATACACACTGCATTACACACACCTCACACAAGCGGGAATTCCTTTTCTGTAATTTGATGAAAAGACAGACATGAATACATATTAATGTTCACTTGTTAAAAAAAATCTAAATATTAAAAACTTTGAAGGATTTATGATGCTGATGAGCGTTAAAATGGGTCATAACAGTCTTGTGAAGAGTTCATAAGTAGGCGCATATGGAATCTGTGTGCGCAGAAATCTGCAGATTTTTAGCCCATCACTGAGTCTATGTACACTATTTACTTGTGTGTACATCTATATTTATACAGTTTTTAGATTAATTTCAGTACTATTATTGACTAATATGAAAATGTTCATCTGATTTATGTACAATGCAGTTTGTAGAGTAATATTTTCTGGTTTTTAGCAGATCTATTATATGAGAGATATAATAGATTTGCTTTGTCTACTAAATAAGTGCATCTAATTGGATTTGCATTGTAAACATTAAATAAAAGAAGAATGTAAAATAAAAGGAAATAATCTTTGATCCCAAGTGTGTTGTCGAGCTTTTACCAGTGTTTGTACATAATCACGAAATCACTCAGGTACAGTCATACAAGTATTTGGGAATTTATCTCTATCATGGGACATTCACGTAAACTGGATCTGTGAAAAGCTTCACCAAAGACTGTATTTTCTACGAAAGTTATGGTTCTATGGTGTTGATAAGAAAATCATGTACTTATTTTTTCAGGCTGTATTTGAGAGTGTTATCAGGTATAGTCCATCTACATGTAGGGCTGGGCGATTTGCCAAAAAAAATAAAATAATCTAGATATTTTTTATAAAGTTTGACCGCTTCATGATTTTGATTTTTTTTTTTATTGTGTAACTTGTCAACTTAAAGCATTACAACAACATGACTGAAGTAGCATTCTCTTTATAAGTAACTTGAAAACCCATCTGGTTAAGGAACATTGTGTTTTTAATGGCCATGTCATACAAAAATCGGTCAAGGTGTAAAGAAATGTAAAACAAATATCGTTGCTGAAGATTTCAATAAGAAATATTTGTGTAAATATTGCACTTGCAGGAATACAGAGGGATTTTTTGCAAGTTTTGCTGAGTCTAGGAAAGATTGGCTGTCAGCTCGGCTTTGACTTTGTCTTCTGATTGAATGTCAGGTTGTAAAGCTGCTGCCTTTTTCTTAAAAAGATACAGTGGAAGAAAAGGACTGAACATGGAAACTGTAAAGCCTAATTTAACCCAATGTGTGAAGTTGTGGACGTATAGCAGGAGCAAATACAAGCACCAGATGTGTGTCTAATATAAAATAAGATATTTAATCTATTTTTCTTTTTCCCCCTTTTTAAATACCGATCATTTGATGCGCTTTGCTCCACTCTCTATTATGCTGCCTGATCTGTCTGGTTTTCAACTAGGTCCGCTAAATGACGTCATGGGGGCGGCTACTTTCATTTTCACTGCTACAGCTGTCAGCTGCTCACCTCTGCTCGTGTTCAAACCAAAATATCAACACGGTTCAAACTAAGATCGGCGCGGTTTTTCACATGGCAGGTTTTTACATCCTTCATACATGTTAAGATCGAGTTTATCGACTTGATGAGGGAATATGTCTTGACAATCCAGACGTGACAACAAGGGGGTATGCAGTATATGCGGCGCATAGGGGCGCCACACATGGGGGGGGGCGCCGTTGTGCCAAAACTATTTTTAAAATTATCCTTATTAAAAGTTTCAAATAATAAAAATAAATAAATATGTTTTGTTAAAAAACATTATTTTGCATTTTAAACGAATATAATATTGTTATTGTTTAATTCAAAATCATTTAACACAATAACATGCAGTCCCACAGCCGAAAGTGGTCATGTAGATGTAACTGTTTAGATTTGTTTTTATTTTTATCAAAATAAACTGTCAAATCATACATAATGTCAAAAGTTATAAGATTAATCTGAAAATTTGTCTTCATTTATTATTAATTAATTAATATAAAATAAGAGGGATCACACAAAATTTGAACCCGCATACCCCTCAGTAAATGTGTAGTTGCGCCCCTGACTCAGACTAATGCAATGAGTAAAATCCTACATGACTTCATGCTTTAACAAGCAGGTCGTACACCAGAAGCGGCGCAACACGGCGCGCACATGACAGTTTAAGGTATCACGCACCAGACGCGCACATTTGCATGATATTTAACATGAAACTAATCAGATGGCGCTCTGTGGCGCGGCTGAAATATGAACTACTTTGTGAATGGTGGCTGGGAGGCGCCGGTGTGTATAGAAACCTGTTTAGAATTCTAAAATCCAAGGCGATGCGTGGTGCTGCGCGGCGTGTCGCCAAGAGGCGCTTCTGGTGTGCGACCTGCTTCATACAGAGAGTGAACCAAAGCACATTGGTGCCACTATAATGTATCAAATATATTTTTTTTAAAAATCGCCATTTCTCGATTTAATATAGAATTAAATTGTCGTCAAAACGTAAATTCGAATTAATCGAAAATTTAAAAAAATATATATATATTGAAAAAAAATAAAAATAAAAAAACTCGCCCAGCCCTATCTACGTTATGGCAATCTTTCTGTAAATCTGAAATCAAAATTTTTTATTATTATCAGAACTGCTACGAGACTAATAGAATCTGAAACTCTTACTAGTATTCAAACACTCTACGAGCAATGCACTCAGAATGAAGCGAAAATAATTTTAAACAATCCATCTCATGTACTCTTCCCATTTTAGGATCTTTTACCTTCTGGTAGAAGATCCAGATCCTTCAGCTGGAAGCGGAACAGACTAAAGAACTCTTTTATTCCAGTGTCAATCAGACTATTGAACACTGATCGATAATGTGTGAGGTTTTTTTTCTGTATGTAATTCTTTTGCATGTTTGCTTATTTTGAATTGTTATTGTGTCAGAACTGGCTGAAGTGCATTGTGAGTTCACAGAAAATTTCCCCTTGAGGGATGATAAAGTATACAAACAAACATAATCTTCGTTACACCTCCACCTCTATTTTTTTGTGCCCAAATGTCTTAAACCAGGGCTAATTGGCGATCCCCGGGCCGAATCCGGCCCCCGAGTTACTTTATTCCGGCCCTCCAAACAGTGTGACCAAGACATCAAAAATTAAATTTAGTTCAGTCGACAAACGGCCGCTATGGTTATGAAGTGACGTGCGTCTGTTCAATAACAGCACGAGCTGCAGTTAAAGGCTGCACAGAGTCATCATAAGCGAGTGGTGCGGGCAGCCGAAAACATGTCTGTAGAAAAGGCGATTAGTACAATGCACTGATATCGTTAATAGGGATGCAACGATTAGCCGATTCCACTATTAACTGCGCTTTAATTCGTCACAGTTCATTAATCCTAAAGTCTTCTCTAAGCAGCATTTCTGTTAAACAGAACGAAACGAAACTGCTGCAAAATGCCAAGTCGCCTGTGCGCCAGTTTAAAGTTTGAAGTACACCGAGGCTAATACGCACGCACACAGGATTAACTATAGCAGCGGCCGTTCCCACATCACGTCTTTTCTGCTTGCAAGTTTGTTATTTCTAATGTAAGAATATATGACAATATGCGGGCGCCAGCGGAGCGATGCACTTGCGTCTTTCTCGTCGCACGCAGTAGAAAACATCCCACGGTGAGAGTTGTGTGTGCCTTCCAGTGCAATGTATACAAAAGATCTGTTACACGAGTTATTATTAAAATGATTATGTATGCATGAATGCAGATGACAACAGTTAATCTAAATAGCTACTTCCCAAATATAAACTTGAATTTACAGTAGATGTGATAACAGTGAAACCATGATTATTCTTCAGACTATATAATCGTACAACCAAACTCTAGAACTGTTGCATCACTAATTGTAATGCAGTTCATAATACAACATATGAATGTGTCTGAATGTAGAAGAAGCCTACTTCAGCAATCAACTGCTTTACTGATATAATGTAGTTTCAAAATATAATATATTGACATTTTAATGTAGAAAAAGCCAACATGGGTGTCTTAAGAAGCAAAAATATACAGCATATGGGCTCTTATATGGTGTTGTGTCATCACTCATACAGCAAGTCATACCTCTCCGGCCCTTCAATTGGGATGCTTTTCATGAACCGGCCCCCATGACAAACTAATTGAATATTGAATAGCCCTGTCTTAAACTCTTGAAATGCGGGGCTTAAAACATGTATTTTATAAACTTTCACTGTAATGGTTAACTTAGCAGTGACTCTACAAATTGCATGTGCTCTGTAGCTCCTCAATTATAACCCAGACTTAACATTGCAGATCTTGTAATGTGACTATTGCACATTGGGATATTGATGCTGAAAAGATATCTTGTGCTGGCCTATTCTTGATGACATTTTTAAGACATTTGGACTGGTAACATGACTTTAAGCGAGGAGAGCACGTGTTGCAGTGCAGGGTTAATATCTGACCAGTGACATGCAGATGAAGAGACGCACCTTTACACCCTGAATGAGGCCGTTCATGAGGAACGTGTGCTGGGGAAACGTGTCATGCAGGACCTGCAGAATCAAAAACACACCGAGAACATCCATTAGAGACTCTTTTAATTCAACTCACGTTTACTAATATAGTGCTTTTCACAATAATTATCCTTCCAAAAGCCGCTTCACAAATGTTGATTCCCTTCTAGAGATATACACTTTGCATCTGAAACAGAATGATATCCTGATCACTTTGTTTGAAATTTGCATATGCAGTGCATTGTGGGAAGGTGCATCATCAAGCATGAGGGCACAGCGGACTAAATCAATAATAATTCAATAAAGGGTGATAATGAACACAGAAAAATACAAGGAATTATTATTTATTATTTAACTTTAAGTGCTTTAAGTACAGTATATTCAGATTGTATTTGCAGTGTTCATAGCATCCAACGCTTGAAGAGTTAATCATTAATTAACTTGCGTTTAACATTAACATTGTCATGTTATTCTGGACATGCTAAAACATTGTTTGAATATTCTGCGACTGTTTTTAGAGCTTTTGTACGCTAACACTGTGCAAACTTGCATTGTAAACTTTGAATAAAAATGTAAACAGTTTTTCACGTTTTAATTTTAGTTACAGTACTCTCAAAACCAATCTGTACAAATCTACAGACTTCGTTATAATTCTGTATTTATTAGCATAATATATTTAAAAAAAGAAAGAAAATAAGAAGTTAAAAAATAAATTAAAAACAAATAAATCAAACTGTTCTGTAATCTACACTCCGAAATAAAGGCACAAAAACCGTCTCAGTGTTGGTATTTGCCCAAAGATTCAAACCTGTTAGCCTAAAAACAGAAAGACATCTAAATTAGTGTTTCTCAACTGGTGGGTCGCGACCCAAAAGTGGGTCATGTGAACATTTTCAGTGGGTCGCGGAGTGTGTGGTCAAAAAAACAACAAAAGTTTAAAATAACTTATTTTGCTTATACCGGACTTTTATTTTGAAATGCGTGCGCGACAACCCTACCGTTTGACAAGTGACATTTCATTTAATTATAGCAACAAATATGTGGAAGTGCAAGTGCGACCTCAAATATGTAAAGTGTAGATTTAAATATATTGACGACAAAAAAAAGACTTAAAGCCTCAGTGTGTTAAATGTAGAGAGCATGAAACCCTCTGAATTACACGACATTTAGAAACCAGACGACATGCTTAATTAACAGTTCAGTTTGGTTCATGGAAACTAAACTTTTCCTTACCCTAATCACTGTTTACAGTATTTGTTGTTTGTAATTTTTGTAATTGTTGTTGTAATATTTATATAATTTAATACATTTTGTTAGATAACAGCAATAAAATATAGTTTATTTGTAAGTCGCCACAACGGAATGAACCACCAACTTATCCAGCAAGTTTTTACACAGCGGATACCCTTCCAGCCACAACCCATCTCTGGGAAACATCCACACACACACATTCACTCACTCACACTACGGACAATTTAGCCTACCCAATTCACCTGTACCGCATGTCTGTGGACTGTGGGGGAAACCAAAGCAAACTAAAAGAAACCCACATCAACATGGGGAGAACATGCAAACTCCACACAAAACCGTAAACTGAGCCGAGGTTCGAACCAGCGACCTTCTTGCTGTGAGGCGACAGCACTAACTACTGCGCCACCTCCAGTTTGTCCCCGCGACCCGGCCCCGGAAAAGCGGCAGAAGATGAATGAATGAATGACGTCTTTGTGATTTTCTTATGATTTATCGGTCACTACTTGTGTATGTTAACAAATAAATACAAATTAATTATAATTCCTAAAATTTTATTGTAGTTCCTAAAAATTTGGGTCGCAGCTTGATGACCATGTAAAAATGTGGGTCCCAGGGCCAAACCAGTTGAGAACCCCTGATCTAAATATTTTAGTAGTGTTCTTAAAAAGTAGTTAAAAACAAAACCGCAGTGTTTGCACAAATAGTCGACTGTTAGTTTTGTTGGATCATGCCCCCTTTGCTTTTGCCTTCAGTAGTTTTATGTAAAGAATTATAATGTTGTGTATATGTTTTTATTATATTTCCATTTTGTCAATTTTTTCAAGCCTCCTGTGGACAGATGTTGAGAATTAGCAGGTTTGCTAAAGCTCTTAAACAAATGCACCAGGTTGTGCAGTGCAATTGTGATGTCCATGTCAAATAAATAAATAAATAAATAAATGAAAACTGCAGACACTTTTTCAATATCAAAATAATTTTTTGATGCAATATTAAACTGAACACCCAGTTTCGCCTTACGCCACAAGATTAAGGAACTTGAATACTAACATAAAGAAAACCCACTCTAAAAGCAAAACTAAATCAATTGCTAAACACTCTGAAATCGTAAATATGCAGCCCACAACACATGTGGAAAGTTATTGCGCATCATATTTAACAAAATGTTTACTTTGAATTTTATTTATTTTTTTTCTCACTTGATTACTTGAATATTAATCAAATGATGTCATTACGCTGCATCGCTGATCATGATTTCCAGGATTAACAGATCTGTCCTTCACAACAAAAACGTGCACGCAGCGATCTCAGATCAGTTCCAGACATTTATCTGATTCACAAACTAAGCCAGAGATCAGTTATCAGGATTAAAACATCCAGCAAATCATCCTAGATTGTTTAAGTGAAGTACAGTTGAGGTCAGAATTATATAACCTGCTGAATATTGTTTCCTCAATTTCTGTTTAACGGAGAGAAGATTAATTTTTCAACACATCTCTAATCGTAATAACTTGTTTTTAATAACTGATGTCTTTCCTATTCACCATGATGACTTGGGGTGTCACGATTTATGCTCAATTTCGATTATCGAATCAAAAAATAGAATCGTCGATGCTGCCACGCCCCCACGTCACGTCAGCTTGGCTTGCCAAGCGGGAAAAAAACAGGCTTGTTGAAGTGCTTGTTAAACTGCAGAAGCAGGAGACCCGTCGACAGAGCTTAAACCCTCTCCTCTTTCAATGAAGTCGCCGGTGTTTAAGCATTTTGGATTTCCAGTGAGTTATGTTGACAACGTTCGTGTTGTCGACAAAAAAAAACACAGTTTTGCAAGCTCTGCTATGTACGTATTACGTAGACAACACCGGCATCGCGATCCTCCGCCCGCCCCCGTTGCAAATCTGCTCGTGAAAAGTACACACTCAGGCCCTGTTTACACTGTCTTTGTTTTTAAATGGCATTTTAGAACGACAACGATTTGACATCCACAGTGGCGTGTAGCATTTCTGAGCAGCCCTCCTTCCTCTCTACCTCTGAAAATGCACATCACGTGACCACACAGACACAGACGCACACACAGCCATATGAGCTTGAGACAGCAGGTCCAGGCAGTCAGAGGACTGCTTCAATCTTTCACTCACTTGTACTTGGTCATTTTAGCGAACACCTCAGATACTGTTGGCTGGTTCCTGTTGGTTGTGCGTCTTTTTTACCGACGCCATTATAACGACACAGATCACTGCCTATTCACGAGTCCCGCAGAAAAAGTGATTGACAGGTGGTAATTATGTGTGTATCTTGCCTTTATTCATTTACTGTATGATTTGTTTATGGGTAAAACAAAGACCATGCAGGTCAGGTAGTTTAAACGGTAGTCTACAAATAATTAATTGGTCATTAATTAATTATTCATAATCGAAAATCTAATCGAATCGTGCCTTCAGAATCGAAAATGTAATCGAATCGAGGATTTGGAGGATCGTGATACCCTTAATGATGCCAGCACATAATATTAGACTAGATATTCTTCAAGACACTAGTGTTCAGCTTAAAGTGACATGTAAAGGCTTCACTAGGGTAATTAGGGTAAAGTTAGGGTAATTAGGCAAGTCATTGTATAACAGTGGTTTGTTCTGGAGACAATCCAACACTAATATTGCTGAAGGGGCGAATAATATTGACCTTAAAATGGCTTTAAAACAACTAAAAACTGCTTTTATTCTAGCCGAAATAAAACAAATAAGACTTTCTCCAGAAGAACAAAATATCAGAGGAAATTCTGAACAATTCCTGAATCTGTTCAACATCATTTGGGAAACATTTGAAAAAGAATAAACTCACAGGAGGGTGAATAATTTTAACTGTATGAAGATCAAACCCCAGAATCAGATCAGAAATAAGAATAGTGTGTTTTGATCAGTGACTCACGGTGAGCATCGGGGTGGTCAGGAGACCCCAGGCGAAAAACTCCATGAAGATCACCACCACTGCATGGGCCACCTTCGCCCGGCCGACACTGCGCTGCTGAACACACAGAACATTACACACTCGTGAGTTCACATACACACACAGAACAAGCATATTTAACACAAGCGTCTACTGCAAATGTAGGCATGGGCGGGTATAACATTCTGATAACCTTGGATTAAAATATCACTGTATCATGATTACTGCTCTAAAACATGTCCATTTTAAATGTCAAGGTAAAAAAACAACACCTTTTTATATATATCGGACTCGCACACGACTTTATTATCCCGTTTAGGGAAAATAAAATTGCAGTAAGGTGCCTTAACACAGGCGAAGTTACATGTACACATTAGGGTTGTAACGGTATGAATTTTTTACGGTATGATAATCGTCTAAAACAATACCACGGTTTGACGGTTTCGCGGTATACGGTATGTTACAAATGTTACAAAATAATAGAACAGTGAAGCAAATTTGACTTTTTCCAAATAGTATATTTTCAGTTACTATAAACAACACCACTTACAATGAACAAATAAAAAAATAAAAAAATAATAAATAATGTGAACAATTCCCGTACATACTCCCACAATCATCAGTTGATGAAAGAATACATGATATATGAACAGAAGAGGTGAGAGGAAACAACCTTGAGGGGACCCAGTGGAACAATACTGGAAGTCAGAAAGAGCAGCACTGACTCGGACACACTGCTGACGTCCTACTCAAATATCCAGCATCCATCCACAAATATTCAAATCCAAGTTAAAAAGAGAAATTAGTTTCTCAACCAACAAATGTGGCTTCATGGTATTAAAAGCAGAAGAGAAATCAATACACACAATATGTACGTAACATGTTTAATATTTTGCAGAAGTAAACAAGTCAGGCTAAATAACTCAAACAAATCAGTGACTTTATTATTTTCAGAAACACAGATTTCTGTACAGCTTGAGAAGGGATCTCTGGAGATCTTTCTGTTCTGTGGATATAAAGTTAAGCCACTGCACTGTTCAGCTCTACAGCAGGCTGGATGTTGATTTATAAGCGATTTGTTTTTCAGATGTTTCCTGAATCGCGGGCTGATCAGTAGCTTTTTACGTGGAGTTCAGCCTACCCAATTCACCTGTACCGCATGTCTTTGGACTGTGGGGGAAACCGGAGCACCCGGAGGAAACTCATGCCAACACAGGGAGAACATGCAAACTCCACACAGAAACACCAACTGAGCCGAGGTTCGAACCAGCGACCTTCTTGCTGTGAGGCGACAGCACTACCTACTGCACCACTGCCTCGCCAGTTTTGGAGTCCATGGTCACAAATACAGTCTGTTAATGTTTAATTTGATGTCATCAAATGACTCTTAATATAAAAAATAAAGACAATGGATATAGAAGCTATATTGTTACTCAAGAAGATTTTAGTGTCCAGATTCTGGAAACGTGAGTAAAATTGACGATATACATTTTAAAATGGCGATAGACAATTTAAGGATCAAACATGTATTACTGAGGTAAAGTTGATATTAAATGCACACGCTCGGACGTTCATTATAATTTCAAGGAAATATCCTTTGCAAATTCTACATAGTGAAACCATATAAGCAGCCAATGACTAGGCTACAACATTGTCCACACTTAAATATATAGTGCTGATTTTGTTTTGAAGTCATATGTACATGAGATTTGACACTGAACATTTAAAATATCATGGTAAACAACATGGGGAGCATGTCACAAGTTGTCGCTGAACAAATGTGCGAATATGAAACCAACTTTAACTCAATAAATAATATTCAGATAAGAGAACAGAGGATCAGACTTCCGTTATACAGGCAAAAACATCTAAAACACAGATGTTATAAAAGATTTAATAATACAAACACACGTCATGAACGTTAATCTGCCGCCAAAGACGCCCTGAGTCGTGTGACAGTCAGAAAATGACGAGTTTTCCGTGTTTGTTTCTGTTTCTCTACATATTTGGGATGAAAACAGTGAGGAAACACGAAAAAACACTTACTCTCATGTATTTAATCAGCATGGTGACTCTCCTTCGACGATCACATTCTGCCGCAGATGTTAATCATCCTGAGCGCAGATATCTGAGGGGAAATAAAACACTTTTAAACTCCAGCACGGCGATTCTCTTCCACTTTCCAACACCTACATTCCTCAGCGTACACTTCCGGCTTCCGTCTACAAGGCGGGAAGGGCTGGGGTTGCTTCAAAATAAAGGTCCCAAGGTAAATCTGAAAATAACACACACGCGGCACGCCTTGCTCACATGTAGAGCAAAAAATAAACACACAGGATTATTTACGAGGATTGTGGAATTATCATCAAGTTTTCTGAATATAATGAAGCATTTTCAGCGGTTTTCCCAATTAAGGATTTGTAAAAATAATTAATTTCGAGACAGTTTAAAGATTTGTAAGAAGCTGAAGACACAATTTCAACTTTTATTGCGATTTCTTTGCAACACGTTTTAAAAATCTCCACTTCGTTTTTATGTATTTATATCAGAAATCGATTCAAATGATTAGTTTTTTCGATTGACACACACAGGAGTTAAATAAACCCATTTCCAGATAGTTATTCCTACATTTATTGAGAATTAATATCCTCCATTTCATCAGTCACGGAGTCTTTTATCTCGTGTGTTTGTGGTTGTTTGAATGAGGACTGGAGACACTCTGCTCTTGAGGAAAACTTGATCTTGGATTAATTGTTTTGCTCATTTTTATACGAAAAAAGCCCAAATTGAGCGAATCATCGCGAGTTTGCAGTGAGAAGCGGACAGAGAGGTGTGTGTTGTGTGTGTTTGTTTAATTTTAGTGATGTGTGTTCACGTTGTTTTGTTGTTTACACCCCATTCACGCTTTTCTAATGTTAACTTTAAGCTTTATACGCATTTATTTATCCATGTGCAGCTTTAGCTCAGTTTATGACGCTTGTTTTGCATGCAAGTCCTTTAAAAATACCATACACGCCGAAAAGTACCTTGTTTACTATAGTAAACTTGTTCCTTCTGTTAGTGCATGCCTGGAAATGTTGTCTAGATAAGGAGAACAGAGTAAATACAGTACAGTTGCATCTGGATATATTCACTTTAGTAAAGTATATTATACCACATTTTCATCATGATACCCAGAATTATTGTCTGTCATATTTAGAGCAAGAATAATTTGCCCTATTAAGCTACTATTATTATTATTTAAGGATCACAGATTGAACAAAATACTTATTGTCATCTGAAATCTTTATACTTGGTCACTCTTGAAAATTTTTGTGTCAAATCTTGCGGTTTTGAATAATTTCACACAGAATCACATTTAGTGTCATCACTTATTGCGTAAACGATGCTCAAATATAAGGTGTATCGCTTCATTTTAATATATATATATATATATATATAAATAATAAAAAATGAAGGGAGTTTGTGCTCAATTTAAAATAATGTGAGTTTGGTTAAAATGTGATTAAAAAAAAGTGTTTTCTTAAAATGACATTACAAATTAAGTGAGTTTGTGCTTATAATTTGATCAAAATATTACATGTGATATAATTTGATCAAAATGAAGTACATTTGTGCTCAAAGTATGATGAATTAAGTGAGTTTGCTTAAAATGTGATCCAAAAATTTAGTTTATGCTTGTATAATGGGATTAAATATAGGTTTTGGTTAAACGTAATTAAAATAAAGCAAGTCTGGTTAAAATTCTATTATATATTAAGTGAGTTTGTGCTTAATTTGATCAAAAAACTAAGTGTGATTTAGAGGTGATCAAAATTAAGCACATTTGTGCTTCAAATAGAATTAAGTGAGTCCTTAAAATGATGAAATTAAGTGAGTTTGTGCTTAAAATGTGATTCAAAAATTGAGTTTGTGCTTATAATGTGATTAAAAATAGTTTTTGGTCAATTTTATATGAAAAAATCCCATTAAGCAAGTTATTAAGCGATTAAATTAAGCGAGTTTGCTTAAAATGGTTTAATATTGAGTGAGTTTGCTTAAAATGTGATCCAAAAAATTAGTTTCTGCTTATAATGTGATTAATTGTGATTAAAATAAAGCGAGTCTGGGCTAAAATTCTGTTTTAAATTCTATTTTAAATTAAGTGAGTTTGTGCTTAATTTGACTAAGTGTGATTAACATTTGATCAACATTAAAGTACATTTGTGCTTCAAAAATTACAAAATTAAGTGAGTTTGTTTAAAATTTGATCAAAATAAAGTTGGGATAAAATTCCACTACAAATTAAGCAAGTCTGTGCTTTAATTTTTTCAAAAAATAAGTGTTATTCATTTTGATCAAAATTAAAGTACATTTGGTCTTAAAATGTGACATAATAAAGTGAGTTTTGTTAAAATGGTATTAGAGATTAAATGAGTTTGTGCTTATAATTTGATCAAAATATTATGTGTGATTTAGTAGTGATAAAAATTAGGTACATTTGTACTTCAAATATGATAAATAATTCAGCTAGAGTTCTTAAAATGGATTAAAATTAAGTGAGTTTGCTTAATATGTGATACAAAATTTTTTGTGAGTTTATGCTTATAAAATGATTAAAAATAGTTTGTGGTTAAATGTGATCAAAATAGAGCGAGTCTGGTTAAAATTCTATTACAAAATTAAGTGAGTTTGTGCTTAATTTGACCAAAAAACTAAGTGTGATTAACATTTGATCAACATTAAAATACATTTGTGCTTTAAATGTGACAACTTTAAGTGAGTTTGTGTTTAAAATTTGATAAAAAAATTAAGTGAGTTTGTGTTTAAAATGTGATCACAATTAAGTTAGTTTGGATAAAATTTTACTACAAATTAAGCGAGTGTGTGCTTAAAATGATCAAAAATTAAGTGGGATTAATTTTAATCAAAATTAAAATTACATTTGGCGCTTAAAATGTGACAAAATTAAGTGAGTTTGTGCTTAAAATGTGATGAAAAAACTGAGTTTATGCTTATATTGTGATTAAAAATAGTTTGTGGTTAAATGTGATCAAAATAAAGTGAGACTGGTTAAAATTCTATTACAAAATTAAGTGATTTAAATTTAATTTGTGTTTAATTTGACTAAGTGTGATTAACATTTGACCAACGTTAAGTACATTTGTGCTTCAAATGTGTCAAGTAAGTGAGTTTGGATAAAATTCTATTACAAATTAAGTGAGTTTGTGATTAAAATTTGATAAAAAAATTAAGTGTAACTGCTATTTGATTAAGTACGTTTGTGCTTCAAATGTGACAAATTGAGTTTGTGCTTATAATGTGATTAAAATTGAGTTTGTAGTTTTAGTGTAATAAAATTAAGTGAGTTTGTGCTTTATAACATGATTAAAAATAAAGCAAGTTGTGGTTAAAACGTGAAGTGAGTTTGTTCAACTTAAAATTTGTTCAAAAAAATTAAATGTAATCAATATTAAGTATGTTTGAGCTTAATATGTGATCAAACTTTTAGGTGAGTTGTATTTAAATGGATTGAAATTAAGCCAGTTTACTTACAATTTGATTAAACCTGTTTGTGCCTAAACCTGATTAAAAATAAAGTGAGTTTTTGTGCTGAAAATCAAAATGGGTTGTTTGTAAAATGTATCAAAGAGAATCTGCTGTGTATCAAACGAGCTGATACTTAACTGAAGTTATTATTTTAACTAATCTGAAAGGTCTGTTGTTGTGTGTATTAAAGCAGATGGAGAGTCCGTACAGAACGCATCGCTCCAAACACACTGGAGGTCAGATTTAGCCATATACTATATAAACTAAATCATAACTAAGGATTGACTATATTAACTAATCTGAGCTGGTGTTTTTGTTTTGATCAGTTCGCAGTGTATCGAGTGGCCGATCCACAATGAAGAAGAAAAACTCCCACAAGTGAGTTTTATATATTATTTTAATGTTTTTTGTTGATGGATACACTGCAAAAATCATATTGAATCTCCGTGTTTCTGTCTTGTTTTTTCAGTAAAATAATAAAATCAACATACATTTACTGGAGAAAAGAAATGATTGGAAATATCAAGTCTTGTTTGGTTATAATTATTTTTTATAAAACAATAAAAATGTATTATGCAAAACAATAAATTTAAATTTAGTGAGTGCATTTAAAAGGATTAAAATTGAGTTTGTGCTAAAATTGATCAGAATGATTTGATTTTGTGCTTTATAAAATGGATCAAACTTAAGTGAGTGTGTTTAAAAGGATCAATATATTGAGTTTGTCCTTGAAATGTGATTAAATCACGTGCTGGTTTTGTGCTTAAATTGCATCAAAATTGGAGGTTTTAATTGTGTTTTTGTTTAAAATGGTTGAAAATCAAATGAGTTTGTGCTTAAAATGGTTCAATTTTAAGTCAGTTTGTGCTTAAAATGGCTCAATATTAAGTCAGTTTGTGCTTAAAATGGCTCAATATTAAGTCAGTTTGTGCTTAAAATGGCTCAATATTAAATCAGTTTGTGCTTAAAATGGTTCAATATTAAGTCAGTTTTTGCTTAAAATGGTTCAATATTAAGTCAGTTTGTGCTTAAAATGGCTCAATATTAAATCAGTTTGTGTTTAAAATGGTTCAATATTAAGTCGGTTTGTGCTTAAAATGGCTCAATATTAAGTCAGTTTGTGCTTAAAATGGCTCAATATTGAGTCAGTTTGTGCTTAAAATGGCTCAATATTAAGTGAGGTTGTGGATAAAGTGGAGATTTTGTTAGAAATGGTTCAAAATTAAATGAGTTTGTGCTTAAAATGGTTTAATAATACATACATTTGTACTTAAAATGCTTCAAAATTAAATTAATTTGTGCTTAAAATGGTTCAATAACAAGTGATTTTGTGCTTAAAATGGCTCAATATTAAGTCAGTTTGTGCTTAAAATGGCTCAATAACAAGTGATTTTGTACTTAAAATGGCTCAATATTAAGTCAGTTTGTTTTTAAAATGCTTCAATATTAAGTCAGTTTGTGCCTAAAATGGTTAAAAATTAGTAAGTTTGTGCTTAAAATGGCTCAATATTAAGTCAGTTTGTGCTTAAAATGGTTCAATATTAATTCAGTTTGTGCTTAAAATGGCTCAATATTAAGTCAGTTTGTGCTTAAAATGGTTCAATATTAATTCAGTTTGTGCTTAAAATGGCTCAATATTAAGTGAGGTTGTGGATAAAGTGGCTCAATAACAAGTGATTTTGTACTTAAAATGGCTCAATATTAAGTCAGTTTGTTTTTAAAATGCTTCAATATTGAGTCAGTCTGTGCTTAAAATGGTTCAATATTCAGTCAGTTTGTGCTTAAAATGGCTCAATATTAAGTCAGTTTGTGCTTAAAATGGCTCAATATTAAGTCAGTTTGTGCTTAAAATGGCTCAATATTAAGTCAGTTTGTGCTTAAAATGGCTCAATATTAAGTCAGTTTGTGCTTAAAATGGCTCAATATTGAGTCAGTCTGTGCTTAAAATGGTTCAATAGTAAGTCAGTTTGTGCTTAAAATGGCTTAATATTAAGTCAGTTTCTGCTTAAAATGGCTCAATATTAAGTCAGTTTGTGCTTAAAATGGCTCAATATTGAGTCAGTCTGTGCTTAAAATGGTTCAATATTCAGTCAGTTTGTGCTTAAAATGGCTCAATATTAAGTCAGTTTGTGCTTAAAATGGTTCAATATTAATTCAGTTTGTGCTTAAAATGGCTCAATATTAAGTGAGGTTGTGGATAAAGTGGAGATTTTGTTAGAAATGGTTCAAAATTAAATGAGTTTGTGCTTAAAATGGTTTAATAATACATACATTTGTACTTAAAATGCTTCAAAATTAAATTAATTTGTGCTTAAAATGGTTCAATAACAAGTGATTTTGTGCTTAAAATGGCTCAATATTAAGTCAGTTTGTGCTTAAAATGGCTCAATAACAAGTGATTTTGTACTTAAAATGGCTCAATATTAAGTCAGTTTGTTTTTAAAATGCTTCAATATTAAGTCAGTTTGTGCCTAAAATGGTTAAAAATTAGTAAGTTTGTGCTTAAAATGGCTCAATATTAAGTCAGTTTGTGCTTAAAATGGTTCAATATTAATTCAGTTTGTGCTTAAAATGGCTCAATATTAAGTCAGTTTGTGCTTAAAATGGTTCAATATTAATTCAGTTTGTGCTTAAAATGGCTCAATATTAAGTGAGGTTGTGGATAAAGTGGAGATTTTGTTAGAAATGATTCAAAATTAAAAGAGTTTGTGCTTAAAATGGTTTAATAATACGTAAATTTGTACTTAAAATGGTTCAAAATTAAACTAATTTGTGCCTAAAATGGTTCAATAACAAGTGATTTTGTACTTAAAATGGCTTAATATTAAGTCAGTTTGTGCTTAAAATGGCTCAAAATTAAGTCAGTTTGTGCTTAAAATGGCTCAATATTAAGTCAGTTTGTGCTTAAAATGGTTCAATATTAAGTCAGTTTGTGCTTAAAATGGCTCAATATTAAGTCAGTTTGTGCTTAAAATGGCTCAAAATTAAGTCAGTTTGTGCTTAAAATGGCTCAATATTAAGTCAGTTTGTGCTTAAAATGGCTCAATATTAAGTCAGTTTGTGCTTAAAATGGCTCAATATTAAGTCAGTTTGTGCTTAAAATGGCTCAATATTAAGTCAGTTTGTGCTTAAAATGGCTCAATATTAAGTCGGTTTGTGCTTAAAATGGCTCAATATTAAATCAGTTTGTGCTTAAAATGGTTCAATATTAAGTCAGTTTGTGCTTAAAATGGCTCAATATTAAATCAGTTTGTGTTTAAAATGGTTCAATATTAAGTCAGTTTGTGCTTAAAATGGCTCAATATTAAGTCAGTTTCTGGTTAAAATGGCTCAATATTAAGTCAGTTTGTGCTTAAAATGGCTCAATATTGAGTCAGTTTGTGCTTAAAATGGTTCAATATTAAGTCAGTTTGTGCTTAAAATGGCTCAATATTAAGTCAGTTTCTGCTTAAAATGGCTCAATATTAAGTCAGTTTGTGCTTAAAATGGCTCAATATTGAGTCAGTTTGTGCTTAAAATGGCTCAATATTCAGTCAGTTTGTGCTTAAAATGGCTCAATATTGAGTCAGTTTGTGCTTAAAATGGTTCAATATTCAGTCAGTTTGTGCTTAAAATGGTTCAATATTAAGTCAGTTTGTGCTTAAAATGGCTCAATATTAAGTCAGTTTGTGCTTAAAATGGTTCAATATTAATTCAGTTTGTGCTTAAAATGGCTCAATATTAAGTGAGGTTGTGGATAAAGTGGAGATTTTGTTAGAAATGGTTCAAAATTAAATGAGTTTGTGCTTAAAATGGTTTAATAATACATAAATTTGTACTTAAAATGCTTCAAAATTAAATTAATTTGTGCTTAAAATGGTTCAATAACAAGTGATTTTGTACTTAAAATGGCTCAATATTAAGTCAGTTTGTGCTTAAAATGGTTCAATATTAAGTCAGTTTGTGCTTAAAATGGCTCAATATTAAGTCAGTTTGTGCTTAAAATGGCTCAATATTAAGTCAGTTTGTGCTTAAAATGGCTCAATATTAAGTCAGTTTGTGCTTAAAATGGCTCAAAATTAAGTCAGTTTGTGCTTAAAATGGTTCAATATTAAGTCAGTTTGTGCTTAAAATGGTTCAATATTAAGTCAGTTTGTGCTTAAAATGGCTCAATATTAAGTCAGTTTGTGCCTAAAATGGTTCAAAATAAGTAAGTTTGTGCTTAATTTATCAAAATGAAGTGAGATTGTGAATAAAGTGAAACAACATTTAGTAAATGTGCTCAAAATGATGAAATAAAGTTTGTGCTTAAAAGTGTTCCAAAAAATAAGTTTGCACTTAAAATGTTTCCAAATGATGTCAGTTTGCATGCACTGATGTTGTAGGTTTTGTAATGTGTGTATATTTTATTATGTGTGTATCAGACACAGATTTGCATGTGTGCATTGATGTTGTGTTTCATTATGTGTGTATCAGAAACAGACATGCGCGTGCGGTCAGTCCAGTGCGGCCGCTGGGTCAGTCAGTGGTCGGCTGCCGGATCCAGCACCTCTGGAAGGAGGATGTTTCATCTCCAGTGTCGCTGTGGAAAGGGACGGTTCTGTCGCAGGTGGAGGTGGACGACTCCCTGTTTCTCATCAAATATGACGGAGTGGACTGTGTGTACGGCCTCCAGCTCTTCACTGATGATCGTGTTCGAGATCTGGAGCTTCAGCCGGGACAGATTGCCTCGTTTCGGGTCAGCGACTCCAGGCTGGCAGATAGACTTCTGGGAAGGCCCGTGGTTCACCTGTTCGAGACGGACGATGGATCCAAAGATGAGTGGAAGGGTCTAGTTCTCTCCAGAGCTCCCAGCATGCCTGCATGGTTCTTTATCACGTATGAGAAAGACCCGATGCTGTACATGTACCAGCTGATGCAGGACTACAGAGACGGAGATCTGCGCCTGCTGCCTGACTCAGGTGAGACTCAAACACCGATATCAATATACTTTACGTAATGGTAATGACAAAGATGATGGTGATGAAGATTCTAATGATGATTGGGATGATTATGATGGAGATGGTAATGAAGACAGTGATGATGATGATGATGTTGATGATGATGACTGTAATGATGACGATGGTGATGACAATGGTAATGATGATGGTAATGATGTTGATGCATACAGTAAGAATGGGATGATGATGATGATGGTAATGACGGTGATGATGATGATGATGATGATGATGGTGCATGTGATTATGGTAATAATGATGAAGATAATAATAAAGATGGTGATGATGATGATGATGATAATGATAATAGTGATTATGATGTTGATGATGGTGATGATAGTGATGATGATAGTAATGAGGATAGTGATGATGATTGTAATGAATGGTTATAATAATGATGGTGGGGATGATGATGGTAATAAAGATGTTGATGACGAAGATGGTAATGATGGTAATGTTGACGAGGGTGATGATGATGTTGAAGATGGTAATGATGATGGTGATGGTAATGATGTTGATGATGATGATGATGGTGATGGTGATGGTGATGGTGATGATGATGATGATGATGATGATGATGGGGGAGGTGATGATGATGGTGATGATGATGAT